ACATTTTAGTCATATGCAACCAACTGACACATTTTATTCGTCAGTTCGAAGCACTGTTTTTTATTCTGAGTGCAGAAGATCGCAAGACATTTTGTTGCAGCCTATTTTTTAATTTTTAATTAATAATTTTAGCATTTTATAGTATGCTCTCTGGAACTTATAGTAATAAATTTAAGTATAATAATGCATCAATGCAGCGGGATGAAGCGAGAAAATGAATAATTTAACTGTTAAAATTGAGGCCACATGGCGTAAAAAGACATGTATACTGCTTTTTTTACTACACATTAAACGGAGATGATTTTTAAAAGGGCGCTAAAATGCCTTAACGGATGTGCAAAAAAATGATAGTAGCTGCTTTCTTCAGCAACACTTGTTTCCACATGAAGAAATTCTATAGTTTTGGCTGTTCTGCTAAAAAAAAACAACTATGATGACACAAAAAACCTCCCACTTGCTGGTATCCACCCACTTGCTGGTCTCCAGTCTGCAGAGATACATACTTGGATCAATCAGTACTCAGTAGCACTATTGCCCGCCTTCTGCTGCCCAAAACCCGTTTGCTGTAGAAAAAAAGGAAATATATAGGTAAGATTTCTTTGTGTTTTTTAGTGAAATACATCCTTCTAAAATTAAAGAAACGTTCTGGGCGAGTGATTTGAAACTCTTTTAATTTTTCGTTTTTAGCCATTGAGCACCATTTACTCCCATTCATTAAGGAGTCACTCGCGAGCGCCCTCTTCTGTTTAGCTGTCCTGTTTTTGATATAATGGGGGACATAGGAAGTGGCCAGGCTCCTCATAAACCGGCTCTGCCTGCAGCATTTATGAGGAGTCTGGCCACTTCCTATCGTTATATCAAAAACATGACTGCAAAACAGCAGAGGGCGCCCGCAAGCGAGTCCTAAATGAACGAGAGTAAATGGAGCTCGAAAAGTTAAAATAGTTTCGAATCACTTGCATTGGCTATTCACGGTATGAACACACACGATGCGCCGTTTTAAACTCCTATAACAAACAGTATAAAACTTTTTTTGAAAACCCTTTTCATTCTGGCCATAGAGAAATCCAGCTTAGACCCGGAGTTCCTAATATGGACATAACACATACTACAGAATGATGCACGACAGTCTTAAAAACAATGGTTATTCTAGGGTTCTTTGGTTCTTTCAAAGAACTCAAAGAACGCTTTGCAGGGTTTTTTGCATCATGAAAGGGATCTTCAGAATGTTATGATTACGAGAAAGTATCTTATTATTATGAGAAAGTATGTCATGAAAACAACATATATCACTGTGAGATAGAACATCTCATAATTATGAGAAAATATCTTGTTATTACAAGATGTCAGGGAACAAGGTTACATTGTGACAACATTGTGACAAGCCGTTGTTTTGGTGCCCACAATATTGTTGCAACATTTAAATGCAGTTCCTCAGAAAGTTGTGACGTCATCTGACAGCATTCTAGGAACCTCCCAGAAACCTTCATAAGTTCTATTATGTTGTGCACAGAACTCCAGATCTCTGTGTAAATCCCCAGAACTTTTTCCAGTCATGTTGAATAAAGTAATCAGTTGTACATAAAGTGTGATTATTTTTCATTTTGACAATTTTTAAAATCTGCTTCGGTCAAAAAAAAGGTCTTACTTGTTGAAAATGTTAGATATTAAACATGAATAAAATGTTATATTTGTGACAATCCAGCAGTATAGCTACTGCAGGTAACAATTCTGACACAACACCCTCATGTCCCACGTCCCTGGTTTATATAATGGGAAATACAAAAATCACTTTTGAGATGTTCAAACATAAATATTCTTATAAAGTTTTAAAATGGATGTAATATCAAATGATGCTATTAAAATACTTCCATGTCAGTATCGTTATCAGAATAACCAGAATTCACCAGAGAGCATCATATACTTACATTGTTTTCATGCATGTGTTTGTTGGGTCACCTGGCAAAACAGTGTTATTGTTACTCTTTCGTCCACTTCGACTTTGGGCCTCCATGGCTCTGCTTTAATGGCCTATAGATTACCAGCTTATAAGTCACCATCGCTCATAATGTCCACCTGATTTCCAGAAGATACATATATGAACTGCTCTACTAAACAATAACAATAATAGTTGTTTCCATAGCGATGTGAATGTGTGCGCTTGCTTGATCACAGTGCATTCAGTGATAAAAGCAGCATGGTGCACTTCTTTTAAACAGTGATACAAAACTTAGGAGCACACAAAATGCTCCTTTTCCATATGCTGATTTTGGTATGACCAATGTGGACATGCACACTGGCAAAGGCCACACTGTGGGTGGCCCAAGAATTGGACAAAAAAATAAAAGTAATAGAATGATACTGGCATGCAGGTGGACAGTGAACATTTATGGATTATGAATTTATTGATTTGACAGGCATTGTTAGAAGATTCCTCCAAGAAAAACGGAAAAAGAAAGGGATGTTTCGATCACTGTTTAATGTAAGAGTAATATGAAAGCAATATGCCACTCAAAGCTATGTGTTATAGTGAAATTGCCACAGGTAAGACAGAGACACCAACACACAGACAGAAACTAAGAGGTTTAGATGTGACATGGAGTAAAATCACTGTAAAGCGCAGTACATGCTGCTTACATGCTTATTATTCTTACATTTAACAACTACCAAAATTCCACTTTCTTAATTATGATATAACATGACAAAATGCTTTTGGACGCCCTCATCAGCTTATAAAGTAAATAATAATAATAATAATAATAATAATAATAATAATAATAATCTGAATTCCCAGTGTGAGTGGTAATCCACAGCTGGTAAATGTGAACAGTACATAATCCGGCAAGGATGGACAAGTGACACATTTCAGTGCAAAACCATTTTTTATTGTTGGTTGTTGACTGATCAGGCCTGCATAGTCACTCCAAAGAGGCTTAAGTATAAATCCAATATATATTTGGTAGACCCCACTGTTCTTTAGCTTGTTCTGCTGAATTGATATGGTATTAGAAAATCTACTGGCTGGTGACATCACAACTGGTAAACCTGCATAAAATGGAGCTTGCCTGAGTTTACCACTAGTATAATCAGTAATTCACATGTTGAGGGACTGTTTAAATGCACCATCAACACAGCCACAGTCCCTTTCAGTAGTGGCTGGGAGAAAGAAGGCTTCTGAACCACTTACTTATATTGTCAAAAACTCAAAGCATCACATGCTGGCAGCACTTGCTGGACAAATCTATGCAAATGCATCATTAAATAAACACAAACTATCCGTCAACTCGAAACATACTTGTATATATTTTTGGTCAGCAGTAGTTTGCAGTATTCTGGAATAAACAAACCTTTCTTTCTTGTATAAGTAGCCCTTACAATGTTATACGCTTTAATCACGATAGATTATTTGTGTATAAACATTTGTGTGACTGAAGTATCGGTTCAGTATGAAATAAATGTATTCTTAGTTTACATTAATTCCCTTAACTGTATTGTACTTTCTGGCAGGAAAGCATATCAGCAGATCTGTGGGAAACCAAACTCATTTGAATCAGTCCATTAGTCACTGAGAGGCCTGATTGCCAAGTGTTTCTCATGCTGCTAAATGAATAGACAGCTGTTCAAATTGACGCTTGTATCAGAAACTTGAGTTTGCTGTTTCATCTCATGAAGAAATCTGTTATGGCTTAAACCAAACCCTGTGCCTGGATCATCAGGGTCAGGTTCTTTCTCAGCTTTGAAGGCCCATTTGTCCTCTGTAGCACAGACATGTTTCTCTGGTGCTTTTGCTTGGATTTGCCAGCGTTCATGTCATTTTCTGATTTGTTGTGGTGTGTATTGATAATGTAACATGGACTACTTTGTCAAGAAACTCAGTGGAGTTGCAGATCTGGTCAATACCTCAGGTTTATTTACAAAATCAAATAAAAAATAGCCCTGAGGCTCAGGCTAGCACTAGCTCTCCCTGCTACCAGCTAGGGCCACCCTGAGCTTGAACCTAAAAACAAAAGTACCCGCTAGCTTCTTCAACCAATCTTCCTCCAAAATGGTTATAAGAGTCAACTAACACCGAAATTAAACATAAACCCACTTTTTATTTGGCAAAAAGTAAATAAACCAAAGGCATGACTAATGATGACTAATACCACAATAAGATGACTGTAATAATAATGATAATAATAGTTGTTTTCTGCACATGTACACAATTCAAGAACTTAAAATTGTTAACTAGAACGTTTCAGAACACATTTCAAATTCTATATTGGTTGTTTAATTAGTGTAACAATTAAAGGACACTTTATTAATGATAACATATGCAGCATCGTTTATCAGTGAGGGGAAACAGCAATTTAGCTGCTTGCAGAACTCAATTTGTTGCTCTGTTTACCAAAAACTACATCTCAGGTTGATCTTGTGATACAGTGTGTGGTAGGTTCACTAAGTCCTGCTGGGTCCAGCTTCCAGTTCATTCACTAAGAAAGGCAGCTTCCTTTTAAGGATTTCATAGAATTCTTCTTTCACAGCTGCTCCACCTGAGTGGAGACCAGCATATAAGATCCTCATTTGCTCCTGAGATGTTTTTTCTCCTTTGATCTCATTGTACATTTCCTTGCTAATCATTTTCTTGCTTTCCAAATGGTCCACTATCTCCATCACACAGGAGACTCTCTGAATGAGTGTTGTCCTGTGTTCATCCACAAATTTAACAGCTGGAACACAAATAAACATCAGAATGACACTTAAACAATGTACACTGTAAGACTTTTTAACAAGATTTCTCCCGTTACTGTGCCTTCAGAAGATCTATTTTCATGCACATGCCGGTGATGTAATCTGTTGTTAAACTCAGAAAATCAGAAAGTCTTACCTGCCGCCACCACTTCAGGTGAGGTTGCCTCTGTACTGTTATCTGCTGTAGAAAGTTTGCAAGTTCATACAAAAAAATGCAAGTTCATACAAAATTGAAATAGTGTACAAAAAATGTATTAACACTTGTCTACCTGCAAGAAAGACACGTCGGGGCTCCCACACCTCCCGACCATATTCATCCAAAAGACCTATTCTGACATTCTCTGTGTCGCAGTCAAGGAACACCTCAAATGTGGGATGAAAGTTGAGAGACTTGAGGTCTAAGTCACTCTCAAATGTCTCAACCTTGTGGGGAAAAAAGCACAGCAGACTATTACAAAACGTGTAAAGGAAATGTAAGTATATATACATATATATATATATATATATATATATATATATATATATATATATTAAGCCTTTATGGTAGTCATATACACTGTAGTTTACCGTTGGTTGGTATTCATGAGGGTGACAGGATGGTTTGTATTTTCTTCCAGGGATCAACTGGCATTTGGAGGTGGTCTGAATGTATTTGCTGGGCTTACGTTTTTTTATCACCTAGAAGGGAAGAAATAATATCACTGAAACAAACTTATCAGAAAACTAATAATCAGAAACCAATCAGAAAAATATAGCCTAGCTCATATTTTGGAGGAAATTATGCTCATCATCAACACAGGAGTGTCTAACAAGGCAATCACTTTTACGTTACTTTACATGGGAGCAGCATGTGGTATGTCTTCATTCTCAAGAATAAAACAATGCAGTGAATGATTAAAGCAGATTACCTCTTCAGTTGGTATGTTTCCTGGCAACAGGTGGATGTATAGTATATTTACACTTTGCGTGACAGCCAGTGTTTTGTAGAAGAATAATACTTGGGCATTGATGGGACAAGGCCTGAATAGTAGATCTTGTAGATCTTTTAAGACTCCAAGGAGAGAGAGACCTTGGATGTGTATGATCACATGTGTGGATGTTACTTTCAGGGGTGTAATGATTTCTATATTATCATCAGTGAAATGTGCCACAGCCTGCTTGACCTTATTCTCTTCTGAAATGAGAAAAAAACAAAAACATATAAGAGTCTTTACTGAATTTTAAGGTTTTATTTTGGAGGCGCTGTTTTCATGTAATTTTTCGTGTAATTTCATCTACATAACTGAATTCAATATTCACACAACAGTAACTACATTTGTCGGAGTTGCATGATTAAAAGCTTTCGGCAGGATAAAACGGGGCTGTCTAAAACATACAGAGTCCATTATGGTAACATTATAACAATATAAGGCATTTTGTTGTAGGACTGTTCTGATCCTTCAGAGTACTAATGAGGAAAGAATACATGTATGCCTCTCTGCCCTCTACAAATACACCAGCCACTCAAGAAGCATCTACCAACAAAGTATTTTTTTACTGCAAGCAGCACTGACTTTACACTATCTGTCCATTTCAAACTACCCTTCTTCTGCCAATCTGTGCATCTCAAGGGTAAAGAAAAGAAAACAAATCAACAAACAAGCAGCAAATAACCCAGAAAAACACTGTACACAGACCCAAATGTACTAGCCCACTATTCCCAACTTCCTGATGGAGGTCCAAACCTTCCTGAAGACCCTTTGAAAGATTATATCCAAGTCTTGCGATTTAATTGGTTTACTGATAATTGAAGCATAAAATTCATAAAATGTTATGAAAGTAAAAATAAACTTACCAGTATCATCAAGTATCTCACAGTGTGGGAAGTGCAGATGACTGATTGGACCTTTGAAGCACTCAATATTGTATAGAGGTCCTGCAGGCTTCATCTGGCCTAAACCATCTAACTGCTGGGTATCCCAGGGCTCTATTTTGTACAGTACCTCCCCTTCACCCTCCATCACAAACACAAGACCAGTCACTTTGCACTGAAAGTGACCAGCATGAGGGCACAAAAACCTAAAAAACAAGAGAAAAACATGTAAAACGTGATCTTTATCAATTTCTCATCTTCCTTGTTTAGAACAGAGATTCTCAATCTAGACCTGAGGGCCAAAGCCAGATCAGTTGTTTTTCTGGTCCAGCTCCTCACACATGGACCTTGGGTCTGTTACACCAAGAGGTCTAAACTAAGGTGGTCTTAACTGGTAAGACAATCATAGCTAAGACTAGTTGTCAGAGTGTTGCAGGCAGCTCAACTTTCAAGGTTCAGGAATTGCACACTTAAAAGGATTGATTATAAATGGTGTGAACTCGATGGACAAGAACATGAAATAGAAGTAGGTCTTTTGGAGTGAAAGAGAGATTCTTTTGACTGCAAGGTTGGTGGCTTTTCATAATGTCAATTAACTTAATTAAATTAAGTGATGACAACAAACGAGAGTTTCCCAAAGCTAACTAGCCATCTAATGGTAACAGCTGTTTAAAAGGCTACTTGCAGTAGAGTTTATTCTAGTTTGTTAGCCTACAGTTACGTATTTATCTAGATTCATTTTCTCCTCTCTTGATGCTCTAATTTTACACAGAGCTCAGATTCTTTTAGAATCCAAATGAATGACAATTATTACAGAAAGGGTAACCAAGATGCTTGATGAACGTGTTGTGCTGCTAAGACAAGATGAACGAGACAAGTGCAACTTTGATTTTGTGTAACTATCAAGTTACATGGAAATTATATTACAAGCAACTTACAACACGCAGCTAGTTGCTTGAAAGTGTTACAGTGTAAAGCCAGTCTTAATGGTGCAAGTTACTAAGCAAAACTGCTGTGCGCGTACCGACAGCTGGCATCTTGCAAATTGATGCTACTCAAATCCAAAAATCAATTCACCAACAGTGAAATGTGCATATTGATTACATTACAGGTTCTGCTAAAAGTCACACTGGTGTATAAACAATTCAACAGCTTAAAAAATCTACATGGGAGGGCAGCTGAATAGTGTTTCTCCACCTTTTTGAACTACAACCATCCAAAGATGTATTTTAAGATGTAGCATACTGTTGGTGCGAGGGTCTTAAATTAACTCACATAATAAAGGACTCAACACCCAGCTAAACTTTTGGGAGCAGGAATATACTGTATGAACCGCTTTGAGGGTCTCTGAGGTTTAGATTGAAAACACATTGAAACATTTCCAAAACAACTAATTTAGAAGACGTAATGAAATAATTACCTGTATGAGGTTGTGATCTTGTCTCCATGACTTTTTTCAACGATTTTAGGATTGAATATTCCTGCATCCGTCAAGGACAGCTAGAGTAAACATTAAATTATATTCTAGATACTCTAAAACTAATAAGGAACTTTCTACGGTGATTTGTCATTCAAAAATATACACCAACTACACTACTGAGCAAAAGTCAGAGACCACCTTCGCTTATTTACGTTCCAGTTAAAACAACCATTAAGTTCATGTTTCAGGAGATATTTCTGAGGATATTAGATATACAGACCCTTCCACAATTATTGGCACCCCTGGTACAGATTTGAATTAGCTTAATCTCACACTGAAAAAATGAAAAAAAAAAAATCCAACCTTTAATTGAAGTAAATTTATTCTGAGATAAAAAAATATATATATCATTGCTGTTGGAAGAAAACCTTACATTATGTGTAAATTTCATAACCGATGGACCAAAATAAACGGCCCAAAATGACTTGGAAAAAAAAATTCTGGTTCCATTGACTTACATTAAAAGTAAAGTAGATTTTTTTTCTTTTTTTTCCTTCTCCTTTAAAGTTACCATTTTGGAGATACAAGGTTTTCTTACGATAACAGCGAGATATATATTTTAACAAAACCATATGTGCCACAATTATTGGCAACCCATAGAAATTCTATTTCATTTTTCCATTTATATTTCTTTTTTAAGTTGATCAAAGTGTCTATGAACATTCAAGCCATGATCCATGACTTCATGTTTCACTGTGGTATATACATGTGAATGAATATTTTTCAAACTCACTTTTTTATGTTTGCACTTTAATAAATTTACATTTAAAGCTGATGTATCCCTTCAAATCACAATTCACAAATACAATGTGCTTTGACTGAATCTAACCCCATAGTTTCTGTCCATCCTTCCACTGTGAGAAGACAGCTCAACACTATAAGTCTGAAAGGATGTGTAGCAGCCAAGAAGAAACAAAGAAGCTGCTGGTGTTCTCAGAACAATAGACTGACCACCCCAGAGTCCAGACATCAACATCTCTGAATGTGTTTGGGATTACTGGATCATGAGAAGCAGAAAATACAGCCAACTTCTAAGACTGAACTTTCGTAGAAAAATATAAAACTTAAAAAGGAATAAAAATTTATGAAAAATAAATACTTGACTGTAAATGAAATGATGTCTGGTGTCTGACTTTTGCACAGTACTGCAAACATAATAAGACTGTCTTAAGTTGTTTTACTAAACCTAAAATGTCTGTTTACTGTTCAGTACGATGTCATAATCTTCTTATACATTTATTAAATGCTATTATAACATACATATTGTAACATATTCTCAGTAAACCTAACTATTTTCTATTCATATATTAATATTTTCCAATATGCATATTAAAGACAACTTCATTGTTGCAGTTGTTTGATTAAACATTGGCTAAATAAATGCAGAAAATATCAACTAAATAAAATATTGAGGGTAAGTTACTCTGATTGACCTGAAGAGTCATCACAGAAATTATAATGGATAGTAAAGTAGCAAAGCTACTAGTTTATTTATTGCCTTGAACATACCAGTTTACACTGGGGCAAAGTCAAAACACAACACATTATTATTGTTATTATTACTATTATTATTATTATTGTCAGCTTTAAGAGCTCCATATGCAGTGTTTGTTTTATCCACACTAACCCTAATTGTGAACAGTGCACTCACATCTTTAATGTCCAGCTGCGTTAATGTTGGAATGTAACTGCTGAAAATATAACTGTGTCCAGAAAGTTCCTCCACTAAGGACGGCTCTGTCATTTGAAGGATTTTAAAGAATTCTTCTTTCACAGCTGTTCCTCCTGAGTCTAGAGCTCTGTACAAGATCCTCATTTGCTCCTGAGATGTTTTTCCAGTTTTTATGTGGCTGTACGTTTCATCAGTGATCATGCCTTTCCACTTTAACTGGTCTGCAATTTCCATCACTGAGGAAACTCTCTGAATGAGAATTTCTCTGTTTTCATCCACAAAAAAAGTAAAAACACCTGAAAAAAAGAAAATTGAAGTGAATTACACATTTTTAACTCATGCATGCATTGAGTGTTGGGGATTTCCCTTCTTCTAGACACCACAGTGGACTCTGTGCTCTGTTTCCCTGTACCAACCACACCTTACTGACATGAATTCTGACAGAAAACCAACTTTCAGCACAAACTATATTTTGGTTCATTGGATACTTTATTTTGAACCCTCTGGGGTCTAAGGGCATTTTCTCAATTTCTGTATATCTTCTTAAATTCACTTATAAAGTCATCACTTGCACATAACATGATCCCATATGTTTCACATCAAAACGCTCCGTTAACTATGTTACGACTTTCCAAAACTGCAGCAGCAACTTCAGTGGCTGTAAACTTTCTACTGGCTGTTTCACAAGTTTCTCCAAAGCCCACTTAATAAAGGGCTGCGTTCATTTTCGACTTGGCCTGACTTGATGGTCAATGTGAGCAGCCAATGACAGCAGAGAGGAGTATGAAAACACTGCTGTGGACACATTATACTTTCCTTACCATGAGCTCACAGCAATAGCTGATTTTCCCGCGTGTGCTTTATTGTTGCAGACGAAATTGATGTGCTTGAAATTAACGCTGGAAATAAAAACTGCAGCGTTTGGTGACCAAAAGAAAAAAAAAAGTGTAGTTTTTTAATTTTTTTAATTATCTTTAATTATAATTAACAAATAAGTAAATAAATGAGACTTGGCATGTTTATGATTGTTCTGTCTACAATTATGACTCATTGACTCTTGAAAGAATCATACAAGTATGAAATAGAAGAAAATAGCATCAGAGATTTTATTCTATTTAATTCATTATTTTATTTTTGTGTGTTTGTTTTCAGTGGGGTTGACAGACTTTATTATACTGTTATTAAAAATACCTTTGGTTTATTGTGTTTTATTTGCTTTGAAAAGTAAGAAAAAACAAATGAAGCATCTTCTAATTTAGTGAATTTGTAGGCATGATCAGAGTCCTCTCTTCTCTGCAGGCCAGTGAAATGATATGATTATCAAAACGATGAATAAAAAAATACATATTAAAGTTTGTTTTAGAGTTTCATGAATTGCATAACATTTTAACATGTGGTCCAGTTTAAGTTTGACATTGGCTTTTTTCTTTCTTTTTATCTTCTTCTAGCACAGGTGTTGCTCAACCAGACGCATCAACACTGATCTCAGATCAGTTTGTGAACTTCCACTGAATAAACTTTTGCTTTCTTTGCTATTAAAATGTTGTGAGGTGAGAAATGTGATGTAATAAACAATCCATGTATGATAATGGGCTCTTGGACCTGAATAGTAAAGAATAATAACTATTATTAGATTATTATTAAGTATTAATATTATAGGTCATTTTTAATTAAAGTTTAAGTTTGATATTGGGGTTAATTTTCCCTTTGAGTCAGTAATTAGACTACCATGGTGAAGTAGTTCACACACACAAATAAATAAAGTAATTACAGAAGTGGAAGTTCACCTGCTTTTTTGTTGGAATTTTCTGTTCCACCTTAAATAATGCAGCAGTTACATTCTGCCGCTTCAGGTTAAATTCAAAAAAGAAGCCAGCGACTAGGAAATTAACTCTAAAAAGTCTCCTATCCATGTTTTATGAAATTTGTAACCCACTTTAGCCACAAAAGCTGAACTGTTACCATCTAATCGGCTGAACTGAAGGTTTTTTTTATTGTGATTAAGCAAGACACAACAAGACAGGGAGTAGATACACTACACAACGGACACAGATCAAAGAGCAGTAGTGGAAATGATGCTACAACACAATCAAACACAACAAGCAGGGAGAAAGAGAGAGAGAGAGAGAGAGAGAGAGAGAGAGAGAGAGAGAGAGAGAGAAAGGAGGTTTTAAAAAAAGGGAAAAAACAGTCAAGTAAAAAATACAGAGAGCACAAGGGAGCGAAGTAAGATAAGTTTAAAAAGCGAGGACTGAGATATAGATTTATACAGTATAATTTATTTTATACAATATATAATTTACAGACACTTCAAGTGTGTATATAATATTTAACCCGGCTGAGCTGAAGGGTTTAACAGTGAAACTGAAAGTGTGTTCAGATGTACTCACTCCTCTCAGTGACCCGTTTCAGCTTCTCTGCGATTCGATTGCAGCCGATCATCCTTAAGATCTCCATCGTCACTTGAACAGCGTTCCTCGTGGTGAAGGTGTTAATGAGAAGGTCTGCCAGGTCCTCTCTGTCCCTCACCTTCTCCATACTGTGGCGGCGCAGGCGAGGCTCCATCTTACGATCGCATAGATTGTTCTTGAATTTCTTCAGATCATCTTCATCCAGGTGGTACAAAGCCCAGAGCAGGTTGTGCCTGATTCTCCTCTCCATGTATTGGTCACGGTTTCTTTTTCGTTCACTGCTCTTTAAACAAACAAACAAATAAATAAATAAATAGATAGATAAATATTTACAGTAAACAAATAAAAACATATGATTTGTAATACTCACTGAAAAAAATGAATAAAAATATAAATAAAAAATATATTAAAAAAAAATATTTGTACTTAATTGTCTGGAACTGAATGATGTGTGACTTTTACACAGTACTGCCTACAAAATAAGACTGTCCTAAATTGTGCTACTAAACTGAAATCTTGTACATTTTCTAATATACATATTAAAGCCATCTTCATTCTTGCATTTATTTGACTATATACTAAAACAATACAGGAAATGTCAACTAAATAAAACACATTGAGGCTCAGTTACTCTATTTTTCACTCATTTTCACTGCACAGTAGTCCAGTTTTGCCATTTGTCCGTTTTGCTGTGAGCAATGAATCAGATCTTGTATGCATTCAAAGACATTCAGCCTGTTTGTTTTGTACTTTATCTCATATGGAACTACAGCTCCAAAATTAGCTCAAACTTAGCTGAGACTGAAGGAAGCGCAGAGCTTTATCTCCTGAAATATGGAGGAAAAACTCCCTGCATTCTGTACAGTCATTGAATTTAAATTTAATGACAATCAATTTCCATGTAAATCATTTCTACTGGTCTTTTTTGTTCAGTGTGTGCAGCTGTTAAAGTACAAGCCTAAAGAGGCCAAACCGATTAGCTATCTTATCTCCTAACTGTCGATACTTAGTAGGCCTAGTTACCAACTGACCGACAGAACCAGCTCAAGCTAAAATAAAATAAAATACTCACTGCTGCCCCCTAAAGCTGTTACAGCACCAGTCAGAAGTTACAGCTTTTGTTGTCTCAGCAGTGTTTAATGCTTTGTCTTATTTACATGCTTTTGCTTCAACCTAAAGGTAAAATGCGCCCATGCATGTGATCAGATTATGGAAAAATTGTTTAATTTTTAATTTTTATTACATTATAACTAAATATTTTAAGATACAATGATATTCATAGCAATTTACTTCTCAAATAAGTGAAGTTCCTCTTAAAAGCTCTACTCAACTGTTCTGTGTGCAGCCTCCAAATCATCCACTAAGAAAGGCTGTGTCTTTTTAAGGATTTCATAGAATTCTTCTTTCACAGCTGTTCCTCCTGAGTCTAGAGCTCTGTACAAGTTCCTCATTTGCTCCTGAGATGTTTTTGCCGTTTGAATGTTGCTGTACATTTCAGCAGGGATCATTTTTTTACTTTGTAGATGGTCTGCAATTTCCATCACTGAGGAAACTGTCTGAATAAGCATTTCCCTGTATTCATTCACAAATTCAGCCCCTGAAAAAAGAATATTAAAATGAATTACACATGAATATATAAACACAGTTTTTTAGCTCATGAACCCATTGAGTGTTAGGAAGTTCCCTTCTTCTAAATACCACAGTGGACGTTGCTGTCCGCTCTGTTTCCCTGAACTGGTAAACGGCCTGTAATGTAACTTACTAACATGAATTCTGACAGAAAAAGGACTTTTAATACAAATTATATTTTGCTTCGTTAGATATTTCATTTTTAAACCAACATATTGCAGTACAGTGCAGTACAGTGCAGTACAGTGCAGTACAGTATTTGAGACTGTTCAGATGTAATTACAGTAGTATCTCAGATAGAGAGACACATAAGGGCTAAAATTGTATTGACCTAGATAACAGCGAATATGTGGATGATATGAATGTTTTTAAACCTTTGTTAAGCTATCAGTTTTTAAAGTTAGTTGATTTACCAAATGCAAAAGCGAGTTCATGCTCAAGTTCATGTTCTGTGGTCCACAGGCCTGGACTCAGGGAGGCAGTAACAGAGCCGGTTTTTGAGGAGCCTGGCCTCTTCCTATTTCTCCCATTATAACAAAAAAACAGGACTGTAAAAAACAGCAGAGGGGTAAATGGAGCTAAACGGCTAAAAACAAAAAGTTAAAATAGTTTCTAATCACTTGCCCTGAACTTTCTTCTAATTTTAGAAAGTAGAAGGACGTATTTCACTGAAAAAGCAAAGAAAACTCACCTGCATGTTTCCTTTTTTTCTAGAACAAACTTTTAGGCAGCAGGATGCTAACAGTAGTGTTACCGACTGCTGATTGGTTGGCGAGCAGAGCAGCTCATTGGCTATTCGTGCTCACTGACGTCATGGATGTACATGAGGCGGCATTTTACACCCCTATAACGAGTTCAGAAGCTCTTACAAAATATAACAACGCTGTTAAAATGTTTTATACTGTTCAGTGTTCAGGAAATTAATTTATCATTTTATCTTACAAATGTTTACGCATTTATAAATTACGATGTGGCTCAAATTGCACATCTTCACCCATTTATTTTGGTCTCGCTCGGAGCGCCCTCTAGCGTTTGAGAAACCCAGAAGACATTACGGAGTGGCAGTACTCTGGCAGTAATTCGTATGCTGGTCACGTCCAGTTAAAAGTCCAGTTAAAAGTCCAGTTAATAGAGTTTGGTTTTGAATGAATCACAAAATCCCTCAAAACTAAAGAGACATCACCAGACCAAACAATTAGTGCACATCTACATTCCTGTTCTGTTTTTTCTTTTTCCCCCTTTTAACATCACTACAACCGTGTGTGTGTGTGTGTGTGTGTGTGTGTCTGTGTGTGTGTGCGTGTGTGTCTGTGCGTGTGTGTCTGTGCGTGTGTGTCTGTGTGTGTGTCTGTGTGTGTGTGTCTGTGCGTGTGTGTGTGTGTGTGTGTCTGTGTGTGTGTCTGTGTGTGTGCGCGTGTGTGTGTCTTTTATTAACACATTTTATGTTTTTTAACATGCCTGCAAAAACCCACAGACTACTAGAATGGCTGATCTGATCATGTTCAGGCCCTAATTTCTAGGTTTTCAGTGTTTGAGTTTAAGAAAAGAAAATTAAAGTTGTATTTAGAAAAGCTGATTTTAGTTTCCCTGTGGGCCGCTATGCTTTGTTTATGTTTAAATTAGTCCACATTTAAATACTGAAAATAGAGTTTTAAAAAATCCACTGTGACCTAAAGCTCTGTTTTCTCATGGATAGGAGGCGAAAACCTAGAGATAAAAACTAAATCTGTGTGCATTAGCGCACAAGCTGATAACTGCATAGTTATCCGAGCAGTTTTAGACCAACAGTTTCAAAATGCAGCTCATCAAACAATTTGAATAACTCACCAGAGCGATGACCTCTAGCCATCATTCCTCCCATCTTTTTCTCTTTAACTTCTGTATCTAGAAAAAAAGAGGAAGATGTCTCAAAATGCTCAAAAATAATGTGAATTCAGAGCTTTGAGTAAAGACAGTGAAAGACGCAGTACATATATACCATAAAATGCTGAGTGCAACTCGCCCACACTGCCAACTGTACAATTATTCATAAAGAAACAACACCAACAAGTCCATGAGCCATTTTCATGTAGCTTATATTCAGAGATGGGGGAGTAGCTAAGTAGTGCACACTATTTTTATAGCTAACTACAATTTTCTGTAGCTAGTAGCTGTAGCACCTACAAAGTTTTGTGTATCTATAGCGATAATTTTTCTTTACAATTTTGCTACAGACTTCAGGCAATCCGCGCAGTGTGAACCCCAGAATGTGGTCTTAACTGGGCTGGTGGCGATCGTGCAGTCCCGACTGAGCTGCAGACAGTTCCTTACTAGTAGGATTAGCTCAGGGGTCGGCAACCGAAATGTTAAGAAGAGCCATTTTAACATTTGATGTCCGTTTTACCATCATGGCAGTAAATATGTCTCAGTGTGTGCTGATGTCCTTGTATAGGATAAAAATATAATATAAACTAAAATGCAGACTTACTTTTCTCTGCTTTAAACTTCAGCTCAGCTATAGTCATATTTCTCGCATCTCCAGCTGGAAACGTTTTTGTAAAATGTCTCTCAACGTGTGACTTTTTATGAGGCTGAAGTCGCTTCTCATTCACCAGCTTTTTGATCAAATTGTCCTGTTCCACCTTAAATGGGACCTGAGGCGCTGGAACGTACTGCTACACCATTTAAGGTGGAACGGGAAAATTCGAATGAGAAGCTGGCGAATGAGAAGCTGACTCCAGCTTTGTGACTTAGCGCTTGACAGTTTCTTGTTGCAGATTAAACATATCAGGAAACCAGCTGGAGTGATTATAAATGCAAATAAGTCTAATTGTCTCCAAATTATGGATGTTCAACTTCACATGATGTTGCTGTTTTCATTTCTATATAAAGATTATATATCATATATAATGATTAGAGTCTGTGATGCAGAGAGGAGCAGAAACAAGACAGAGAGAAGTGCATTTACTCAATACATTTAAATGACAAATGAGAACCCAGTTTCTTGGTGCATTGTTAGTGCAAACTGAGGCTTTACATAATCATAGGCTGAAAATGACTGGTTTGTAGGTGTGACTACATAGGAGCAGTCTGACAAAATAAAACACCCTTGTAAGCGTATGGGGGATTTTTACTGGGCATAAGCCACAGTTCTGGATAGTTTGGCGGCTCTAACCTATAAGACAATAAGAAAAAGAGAAAAAAGGAGAAGAAATATGCCAGATAAACTAGTTGATGGCCCTTGAAGCTTATATAATAACTTATTGTCCAACATGCGAATCGAACACATCCTGTGGTGAGAGCGGTTATGTGTATGGGCTTTGGGATCGGCTGGAAGTGATCCGACGCCACAGTAGACATTTTCATTGTTTAAATTCATTTCTTTTATAAATCTGACCCAAGTAAAACAAAAAACACCATCTGAGTTCAGATGAAGTCGGGCTGAAGATGTAGAAAAGTTTATCAGGTGCAGTAAACCGCATATGCTCTGAATGCATTACAGTAAACAGAGTGTGGTAAAACTGCTGTAGATCATTTATTACAGCCCTGTAAATGATCCTGCAGAACCCATATAATATTTCAAAAACACCAAAAATATAACGGGAAAATGACTCTCTTACCTGTTTCTCTGTCGTTTCTCGGCCAACAGTAAAGTGAAAGAACACAGACGGTACTTCCTCCTTATCCTGGTGTTGTTTTTAGGGGAAGAGACAGAGTGAAACACATTTCAACCCGTCCTCCCCCATTTCCTTTTCCTGTGTTTTACTTTTCGATACTGAAGATTTACAAGGCACTGTGAAAGGACACCAGCTTCCAGTGCGCATCTGCCATGTTGGAGCCATCAAGATGTGTACTGAGATATGATGAGTTTAAATAGATGAGTTTAATAGAGCTGAAAATACTTTGTTAAAATGCAATATAAAGTGGTGATGACACCAGAAACAAAATTCTCTGTAACAAATGTATTTTTGAAATAAAACACATTTTTAAAATGTAGTATAATCTTGATGATATATATAGCAAACATGAATCTGTTTATACAATTTCCTTTAAACCTTTTAAAAATATTGTTTTGTATTGAAATGTTTTTTTTTTTCAAATGCTGAAAACTGGTTATGTGATGAGCTTTACATGCAGTGCAACTATGAAACACGATAAAAAGAGAAAAATCAATAAAATCATTAGAGAATTTTTTTGTTTAATTTATTCGATTAATTTAAATATTTAATTTCATTTAATTTATTTAATCTTAGGTCTATACATATACATTTCTATACACACATTATATACTCTCCACACTCTGAAGCTGTATTCATATATATAGTATATATATATATATATATATATATATATATATATATATATATAAACAAACAAACAAACAAACAAACAAACATGTATATATGCCTTCAGCCTTTTCAGTAGTGCTGTTCAGTAGTGCTGGGTGGCAGTTACTCCACTGCTGTCATGTTCAATAAAGAGCATTTGTTAATAGCAATATAATAAATAATATTAGATGAAAGGTTTTGCAATTGTGAACATGCTATTAACTAAATAATGGCATTTATATTCCTCTCTTAAAAACAAATTTAAAATTCTTATTATTAAACTTTTCTGATAATATCTTTGGATGAAAGGCAAATAAATAATTCATTCCAGAAACCCTTTGAGTAAATACATGTGTAGAATGTATGTTCAGTGTTTTCAATGTTGCACACACAGAGTTAACAGTTGTTAATGTCAATATTAAACCTCAGTCTAAGAAGTTCTTTGGAAAGATAAATATCACTGAGGATATTAAAGTGAACTTCCTTTTGTCGAGGGGTAGAAAAAGAAAAAAGGTTCTCACATGTTTAGAAGTATTAATACCAAATTCTTTCTAAATATGATAATGATTATTTATATCAGTGCAGCTTTTTTTCAGTTAAGACATTCCTGGTATCTTTTCTGGTAGGTGTTTCTGATAAAAGGTCAGAGTGCAGGTGCAAAGTAGGTGGAAATAATAAAGTACAAGTACTTACCAGTGCAAACATCAAACCTGTGATTGAAATAACACGTATTCAGATAAACCCATCTAAATGTAATTTTGTCTTACATGAACACAACTGATTCCTTTCATTTTCTTTTGGCAATTACTGTACTTATGTTTCACATTTTAGTCATATGCAACCAGCTTATTTTTTAACTTTTAATCAAGAATTTTAGCATTTTATAATATGCTTTCTGGAACTTATAGTAAATAAATTTAAGTATAATAATGCATCAATGCAGCGGGATGAAGCAAGAAAATGAATAATTTAACTGTTAAAAATGAGGCCACATGGCATAAAAATACATGTATACTGCTTTTTTTGCGATATATTCAACGGAGATGATTTTTAAAAGGGCGCTAAAATGCCTCCCCTTTGATGGTCTCCAGTCTGCAGAGATACATACTTGGATCAATCAGTACTCAGTAGCACTAATGCCCGCCTTCTGCTGCCCAAAACCCGTTTGCTGTAGAAAAAAGGAAATATATAGGTAAGATTTCTTTGTTTTTTTAGTGAAATACATCCTTCTACTCTCTAAAATTAAAGAAACGTTCATGGCGAGTGATTAGAAACTCTTTTAATTTCTCATTTTTAGCCATTGAGCACCATTTACTCCCACTCATTAAGGACTCACTCGCGAGCGCCCTCTTCTGTTTAGCTGTCCTGTTTTTGATATAATGGGGGACAGAGGAAGTGGCCAGGCTCCTCATAAACCGGCTCTGCCTGCAGCATTTATGAGGAGTCTGGCCATTTCCTATCGTTATATCAAAAACATGACTGCAAAACAGCAGAGGGCGCCCACGAGCGAGTCCTAAATGAATGGGAGTAAATGGAGCTCGAAAAGTTAAAATAGTTTCGAATCACTTGCATTGGCTTTTCACGTCATGAATGCACGAGGCGCCATTTTAAACTCCTATAACAAACAGTTTAAAACTTTTTTTATAACCCTTTTCATTCTGGCCATAGAGAAATCCAGCTTAGACCCGAAATTCCTAATATGGACATAACATATACTACAGAATGATGCACGACAGTCTTAAAAACAATGGTTATTCTAGGGTTCTTTAGTAAAGAAAATGGTTCTGTAAAGAACCATGAACACTCAAAGAACCGTTTGCAGCAACCTCCCAGAAACCTTCATAAGTTCTATTATGTTGTGCACAGAACTCCAGATCTCTGTGTAAATCCCCAGAACTTTTTCCAGTCATGTTGAATAAAGTAATCAGTTGTACATAAAGTGTGATATTTGTCAAATTAACTATTTATTAGGTGAGTAGTTATAGTTTAAAAGAGGCTGCAGAAAAATTTCACTATCTTTGTCATTTTTCATTTTGACAATTTTTAAAATCTGCTTCGGTCATATCTAAAAAAAAGTCTTACTTGTTGAAAATGTTAGATATTAAACATGAATAAAATGTAATATTTGTGCCAATCCAGCAGTATAGCTACTGCAGTTGACCAATTCTGACACAACACCCTCATGTCCCACGTCCCTGGTTTATATAATGGGAAATACAAAAATCACTTTTGAGACATTCAAACATAAATATTCTTATAAAGTTTTAAAATGGATGTAATATCAAATTATGCTATTAAAATAGTTCCATGTCAATATTATTATAAGAATAACCAGAGTCCCCCAGAGAGCATCATATACTTCCATTGTTTTCATGCATGTGTTTGTTGGGTCACCTGGCAAAAAAAAAAAACAGAGTTATTGTTACTCTTTCATCCACTTCAACTTTGGGCCTCCATGGCTCTGCTTTAATGGCCTATAGATTACCAGCATATACGTCACCATCGCTCATAATGTCCACCTGATTTCCAGAAGATACATATATGAACTGCTCTACTAAACAATAACAATAATACATAACGATGTGAATGTGTGCGCTTGCTTGATCACAGTGCATTCAGTGATAAAGGCAGCATGGTGCACTTCTTTTAAACAGTTATGGAAAACATGGGAGCACACGAAAAGCTCCTTTTCCATATGCTGATTTTGATATGACCAATGTGGACATGCACACCGGCAAAGGCCACACTGTGGGGGGTCCCAAGAATTGTAATAGAATGATACTAGCATGCAGGTGGGCAGTGAACATTTATGGCTTACAAATTTATTGATTTGACCGGCATTGTTAAAAGATTCTTCCAAGAAAAACGGAAAAAGAAAGGGATGTTTCGATCACTGTTTATGTAAGAGTAATATGAAAGCAATATGCCACTCAAAGCTATGTGCTATAGTGAAATTGCCACAGGTAAGACAGAGACACCAACACACAGACAGAAACTACAGGGTTTAGATGCGATGTGGAGTAAAATCACTGTAAAGCGCAGTACATGCTGCTTACATGCTTATTATTCTTACATTTAACAACTACCAAAATTCCACTTTCTTAATTATGATATAACATGACAAAATGCTTTTGGACGCCCTCATCAGCTCATAAAGTAAAAAACTATTCCAAATCTAAAATCTGAAAGCATCACACGCTGGCAACACTTACTGGACAAATCCATGCAAATGCATCATGAAATAATAATAATTATCACACATAATACCCGTCAATACGAAAAATACTTGCACATATTTTTGTCAGGAGTAGTTTGCAGTATTCTGGAATAAACAAACCTTTCTTTCTAGTGTAAGTAGCCCTTATAATGTTATACGCTTTAATCATGATAGATTATTTGTGTATAAACATTTGTGTGACTGAAGTATCGGTTCAGTATGAAATAAATGTATTCTTAGTTTACATTAATTCCCTTAACTGTATTGTACTTTCTGGCAGGAAAGCATATCAGCAGATCTGTGGGAAACCAAACTCATTTGAATCAGTCCATTAGTCACTGGGAGGCCTGACTGCCAAGTGTTTCTCATGCTGCTTAATGAATAGACAGCTGTACAAATTGACGCTCGTATCAGAAACTTGAGTTTGCTGTTTCATCTCATGAAGAAATCTGTTATGGCTTAAACCAAACCCTGTGCCTGGATCATCAGGGTCAGGATCCATATGGCTGGATCATCAGTGTCAGGTTCTTTCTCAGCTTTGAGGGCCCATTTGGCCTCTGTAGCACAGACATGTTTCTCCAGTGCTTGTGCTTGGATTTGCCAGCGTTCATGTCATTTTCTGATTTGTTGTGGTGTGTATTGATAATGTAACATGGACTACTTTGTCAAGAAACTCAAAGGAGTCACAGATCTGGTCAATAACTCAGGTTTATTTACAAAATCATATAAAAAATAGCCCTGAGGCTCAGGCTAGCACCAATCTTCCTCCAAAATGGTTATAAGAGTCCCTTTTAATTAAAAACCCAAATTAAACATGAACCCACTTTTTATTTGGCACAAAGTAAATAAACCAAAGGCATGACTAATGATGACTAATGCCACAATAAGATCACATAGTAATAATGGTGATAATATTGGTCCTTTCCTGAACATGTACACCAATCAAGTCCTGCTGGGTCCAGCTTCCAGTTCATCCATTAAGTAAGGCTGCTTCTTCTTAAGGATTTTGTAGAATTCTGCTTTCACAGCTGCTCCACCTGAGTGGAGACCATCATACAAGATCCTCATTTGCTCCTGAGATGTTTTTTCTTCTCTGATCTTATTATACATTTCCTTGCTAATCATTTCCTTGCTTAATAAATGGTCCACTATCTCCATCACATAGGAGACTCTCTGAATAAGCGTTGCCCTGTGTTCATCCACAAATTTAACAGCTGGAACACAAATAAACATCAGAATGACACTTAAATAATGTACACTGTAAGACCTAACAAGATTTATCCCATTACTTTGCCTACAGAAGATCTATTTTCATGCACATACCAGTAACGTAATCTTTTGTAAAACTCAGAAAATCAGAAAGTCTTACCTGCCACAGCCACTGTGGGTGAGGTTGCCTCTGTACTGTTATCTGCTATGGGAAAATGGAAACCGTGCTTCAGCACTACACAATGACACTAGATAATATGACCCTCATTTTAAGAAAAAAAAGTCATACAGCTTCATACACAATTAAATGGCATCCAAAATGTATTAACACTTGTCCACCTGTAAGAAAGACAAGTCGGGGTTTCCACACTGCCTGACCATCTTCATCCAAAAGACCTATTCTGACATTCTCTGTGTTGCAGTCAAGGAACACCTCAAATGTGGGGTGAAAGTTGAGACAAAAGTCATATTCAAATGTCTCAACCTAGTGGGGGGAAAACATAAGACAATTCCAAGATGTGTCTCATATATATATATATAAATATATATATATATATATATATATATATATATATATATATATATATATATATATATATATATATATATATATACATACACACACACACACACACACACACACACACACACACACACACATACATATTATAAATATATATGATTTTTTCCCAAATGGATGAAGTGTAAATGATTAAGACATACACTATAAAATAAAATTTACCTCTGGTTGGTATTCATGAGGGTGACAGGATGGTTTGTATTTTCTTCCAGGGGTTAACTGGCATTTAGAGGTGGTCTGAATGTATTTGTTGCACTGATGCTTTTTCATCACCTTGAAGGGAAGAAAAAAAATGTTATTGAGACCTGAAGTTGTATACACCTTGTTTAACACTGTCTTACCTTACATATTGTTTGTGATCCATTCAACGTCTTTGTCTATTGTAACTCACGTCCACATGTGTGTGTAGTAAAATGCATCAGCACACAGAATTGGAGCTTTCTGTCTGTTTTCTATCACTGTATAAAATAGGCCCCATGCTGCCTTTAGGATGCACTGTGATGTCTAAGTGAGAGTGCGCACACATTCAGAATGCAATTCACATCGCCAGGAAATGGTTATTCCTGATTTGTTTAATGAGTAATAATTAAAGCTCAGAAGGTTAATGTGAAGTATATTTACACGTAGAGCTGGGCGATATGGCAAAAAATGTTATCACGATAAAAAAAAAAATCATATCGTTCGATATCGATACATATTGTGAAAAATGTCAATTCATTATTTCTTTCAAGTTTGAAGGCTGATTTTTGCTGATTTTTGGTTAATCGCTTTAAACTATCCTTTGTGGTCAGAACATGACAAACACTCGGCAAACAGTGGAACATTTCACAAATCTGTCATGGGAGAGTGGGAGAAAATGTCTGATTGGCTGTTTTTATCAGCTGGAAAAGCATGGCCGCAGTTTTTTTTAATAGCCATAATTTAAGAAAGAAAACATTATTTTAGCTGTCTGGTGACGAGCGCTTGGCTATCCCGTTATAAATGCTAAACAAGTGACCAACAACAGTGCTAAACTGTTTAGTTTCTCAACAAACACCAGCTTACAGATGACTGGGTTTCTCTATACTATCGTAGTAGTTGTGAACCGCAAAATATCAACACCAGACAAACAGAGTCCTCTTTTTAAGTATGTTTAAACTGAAAGCGGTGCTTTTGTTTCTTGTTTAATCTACAGTATCATCAATTCGCCGTGTTGTGTGAGTGACGGAGCGCTGCTTCAAGTTAGCCAGCTGCTAAAAACAGCTAGCCTGGAAAGACAGCGCTTTCCCACTTTACAATGCCTCACAGCTTCCTCAGTTTACTTTCGTTTAAATCAGGGCTGTAATTTACATGAACCCACTTCTTTCTTTCACTTTCGTTGCTTGGGAATGCACTAATATTAAAATATGACTATCCGAGCTCTGTAACAGCACTTTAGTTGTGAGGATTGTGATTTAATGCTGCTAAAGCTGGTTAGGATGTTAGTAAAGAGGTGAGTTCGCTGTAGGTCAGTACAGTTACACCACTGACCTCGTCACTCACACTCGGTCACAGGAGAGCAGATTGCCGGTCGCTCCACTCAAACAGGGAATGTATAACTTCGCGTTTCAGACATTGCTAAAGACTCATCTTACTCGTGGCCCCCTCCCTCTCTAATCGTCGAAAAACTCAGAAGTACGCCCTCTCCTGGCGACACCAGAGTAGTGTTGCTTTCCTTGCAGTAGAAAATGCCACCAAGGCTTTCGCTGAACGTGGAAGTGTGAGAATGATGTATTATATCAAACATTTATCAAATATGTCGTATCACTCTATCGAGGAAAAGTTATATCGCGATAATTATCGTTATATTGCACAGCCCTATTTACACTTCAAATGTTTAATGGCTCAAAGTGGTAGTTTTTTCAGTTTTGTTAGATCTTATTCTTTGCATAAAAGGGCAACAACAGCATTGAGCAATCATATTATTAAAGAAGATACTTAGAATTCTAAGATGAAGAATGTTTTTTTTTGCATCGGCATTAACAGTTTAAATCAGAAAAGCTTACCCTAGTACCATAGTGAATATTTGAGAAAATTATGTTCATCAACAACAAAGGAGTGCCCAACAAGGCAGTCACTTTTAGACTCTATATGGGAGCAATATGTGGTACGTCCTTCTTCTCAAGAATAAAGCAATGCAATAAGTAATTAAAGCAGATTACCTCTTCAACTGGTATGTTTCCGGGCAACAGGTGGAAGTATACTACATTGCACCTTTGTGTGACAGCCACTGTTTTGTAGAAGAGTAATACTTGGGCATTGATGGGACAAGGCTTGAATAGTAGATCTCGTAGATCACTTATGACTCCAAGGAGAGAGAGACCTTGGATGTGTATGATCACATGTGTGGATGTCACTTTCAGGGGTGTAATGATCTCTACATTATCATCAGTGAAATGTGCCACAGCCTGCTTGACCTTATTCTTTTCTAAAATGGGAGCAACCAAAAACAGTTTTTTAAAGAATTATAAGGTTTTATTTTGGAGACACTGTAAGAATTCAATTTTATGTAATTTAATCTACATAACTGAATTTTGTATTCACACAATAGCTACATTTAATTGCATGATTAAAAGCTTTTGGCAGGAGAAAAGAGGGCTTTCTAAAGCATACAACATCCATTATGGTAACGTTATAAGAGTTAGGATACTTAGTTGTGGGACTTTTCTGACCCTCAGGAGTACTAGTGAGGGGAAAAAACATGCATGCCTGATATCGGAATACTCATTAACTATGCCTGAAGACAGAGGTGGAAGAGAAACAAAAGTCAGCCTAGGCATTTTCTTTATAGGAGCCCAATTATTAGCCATTAGCTCCCCCTTGTGGAGAATCTTCAGCCTGCTAAACATGAGTATGTGAGTGAGTGAGTGTGTTACAAACCAGTGGTGCTTTGCATCTAAAAACACACCCACCTGCTTATTGGTTATTTATAAATAATGAATTTAAATATATATATATTTTAGCTCTCAAAACCATATATTGCATTTATCTTAATTCAACCAAGAAATCAATGGTCTATATAGGCATGATATGCATTTGCATAAAATGCCCTAACTCACTTTCTGCAAGGCAGTTAATTAGCACTGCAGGTACCTGACAAAGTGATAAAATTATCCTTCGCTTAAAAACTGTTGTTAGCTACTAACAAGTTTAATTTGCTACAAAGAGCTTGTTCCTAACCAGCACCATGATTTCGTAAAGAAGAATTCCAGTCTAAAACTAGCATTTAATATTTTGTTATGTTATATAATATTCTACAGCACAGAACTGTAATCTCAGCCTCACTGGTTTGAAGGAATTCATAATTTTAAATCCTTTTTATGTTTTCATCCATCAATTTTCTCACTACACTACTCCATGTGATTTATGCAAGTACATCATACAACCATTAGGATTCTGCTTTACAGAAATTAATCAAACAATAATACAATAAAATCTGTCCTAATTCTGTACGTCCATTTACTTATTTTCACCATCTCAAATGAGCCTTTTGTCCATCTGTGAATCTTGAACTATCCTGCTTTTAAAATGGCATGGAGAGATCCTGAGGGTAAAGAAAACAAACAAACAAACAAGCAGCAAATAACCAAACAAAACAGCCTATGCTGACCCAAATGTACTAGCCCACTAGGACTATTTCCCCAACTTTCTAATGGAGGTCCACATCTGCCCGAGGAAGCATAAAATCTATAAAATACTATGAAAGTAAAAATGAACTTACCAGAAAGTATCTCACAGTGTGGGAAGTGCAGATGACTGATTGGACCCTTGAAGCACTCAATATTGTATAGAGGACCTGCAGGCCTCATCTGGCCTAAACCATCTAACTGCTGGGTATCCCAGGAGTCTATCCTGTACAGTACCTCCCCTTTACCCTCCATCACAAACACAAGACCAGTCACTTTGCACTGAAAGTGACCAGGATGAGGGCACAAAAACCTGAAGAGCAAGAGAAAAACATGTCAAATGTGATCTTTATCAATTTCTTGTCCTCTGTGTTTACAACAGAGATTCTCAATCTAAACCTGAGGGCCCAAGCCAGTGGTCTTAACTGGTAAATAGCCAAGACCAGTTTTCAGAGTGGACTTTACGCACATTGCACCAACTAAAGTCACACCTAGGTATAACCAAGACGCTGGCCCAGCTGGCTAGCTTTATACAGCAAAGATTACATGCAACTGTAGTTGCTTGAAACCTACATGAGACTAAACTTTACTTGAGTTGCACAATCTAAAAGAACCCCACAACTCAGCCACAAGAGTTTCAAGTGGCTCAACTGAAAAGTTTCATGAAGCATGCACATGAACAACAGGTCGAATGACACCATTTCAAAGGATTGGTTACAAATAGTGTCAACTCGATGGACAGTAAAAAAAAAAGGTTGTAGCTTTTTATTTTGTCCATTAAATGAGTGATAACGACAAACAAGTTTCTCGAAGCTAACTTGTCAGCTAATGGTAACAGCTGTTTAAACAGCTACTTGTGCCAGAATTTATTCTTCTTCATTAGCCTATAATATCATTATATACAGTATGTAGCTAGTGTAACGAGTATGACCCTTGTTACTAATATTTTATAAGTGGACCAGGTCTAGGTTCGGTATAGAGCTGGCTGTATTTAATATGGTGTTCAGAGACCAAGGTTTAAAGGTGGGGGGGGGGGCATTAAATTAAGGTAGCATTTGAGATGCAATTCACAAATTTACAATTTGCAAAGAAAAATCAATAAATGAAAAGACGATACTGAAGTGGGGAAGTGAAATGCTTTAGTGTGTGTGTGAATGAGTCCATTTTGCTTTCTCAGTTCCCATGTGTATCCTTTGTGTTTCAGTCCTACCAGTGAGATACTAAGTAACTATTACTTGTTAAGTCCTAAAGTAGTCTTGTTCTTCTGCATGCAATTGTCTTTTCTTTTTCTAGACTGGCTCGCAACTCCTTACCGGAGGAATCAAGATCATCGACGCTCAAGGACGGTTCAAAGGGGTTCTATGGTCTGATGTCTTTAGCTGGTCTCACAATCCAATAAAACCTGACCAAAGCTCTTCCACTGGTGAGTACAAAGAAGAAATTGTAGGTATATAGCGACTTAACACACGATTTATCATATATTTAGCATGTTATTTTTGTGTTATCTATGCGTTTACAGCTTGAGTCTTGCCTCGACTCTAGTGCACCTTCACGATGAACAACCGCAATGGGAAAGAGGAAGTAGAACCTCGCAGCACAGCGTATATACTATATTGGGTAGGAGGAGCTTGAATGCGATTTGCTCACATTCTTCAAAATAAGGGATCCTGTGCTCTACAATGAAAAGGGTAAATTATTCATTGACTTATTTATGAATCTTAGGGGCTATTTTACAGTATTTTATTGGAGACCTTAAGGGGGGTATATTTTTGGTTTTAGCCAAAACTGGATGTTTTTAAAGCTTAATATTGATCTCTCTAGGTATTATAAATATCCATAACTGGGTTACACTAGATTCATTTTCTCCTCTCTTGATGCCCTCTAATTTTACACAGAGCTCAGTTCCTTTAGAATCCAAAATTTTCAAAGGCGTCATATATTGAACTGATAAAAAAGTAAGAACCATAGATAGAAAGCTAAAAGACGCATGAAAATGATTAAAAAAAAATGCTCACTATGCTGGGATACGTAAATTAGACCATGGGTGACTTTACAATGAACCTGATGCATTGTATCAAACAATATCTACTGCTGACGCAGTTAACCAGTGGAACAACTGAATGTATTGCTTGCAACTCTGATGAGCTGCTTTATGTAACTATCATGTTGCAGGCAACTCACAACATGCAGCTAGTTGCTTAAAAATTTCACTGTATAAGGCAAGGCAAGTTTACTTATATAGCACCTTTCAAACACTGCTGTCATTCAAAGTGCTTTAAAAATGAGAAAATTCAGTATAAAGAATATAAAGCCAATGTTAGCAGTGCGTGTTACTAAGCAAAACCGCCACTGCATACCTGCAAATTGAACTAAAGTGCAAAAAAAGCAGAAGTAAATGTCACAAACAGTGAAACATGCATATTGATGAAATTATACAAACCGCAACCAAACAAAGATGTATTTTGGGGTTGGTGAGTTAAGTTGGAAGGTAGAAAGTTAAGACTGACTTGGCTTACGACCAAGCGTAATGCCCTGCTGTTGCAACCAGCCACCAAATGATAAAGGATGCAAATCAAATTAATCAACTCTTGATCTCCCAGTTGGAAGCAGGAATATGTGAACTGCTTTGTGGATCCCTTAGGTCTAGATTTAATATAGGAAACAAAATACAATAATTACCTGTACGAGGCTGTGATCTTGTTTCCTAGACTGTTGTCAACCATTTCAGGCTTGAATATTTCTCTCTTTATTGAGGACAACTATAGTGAAAATCAAGAGGGCTAGAATAAGTATCTTTCAACAGGGATGTGGCAATCAGCAATATACACCAACTACACTACTGCAGAAAAGTAAGTTGTTTAAGTTCAAACAACTATTACGTATAAATGATTCATTTTTCAGGAGATTTCTCTCACATTAGATATAAAATAATCCACTTGCAAAGGACGGAGTCAAGAAAAATAAAAGTTACCAGATTTTCCAAAACTGGAGTTCAACAAATTATCTGGTAGACCACCAAAGCTTTTCCCATCAGATAAACAGTACTCAAAGCTTCCCTCATTCAGAAAATCAAGCTCCACTTTTGCTTAAGATCAAAAATGCTGAGATCCTTCCACTGTGAGAAGACAAGCGCTATGGGTCTGAAAGGATATGCAGCTGTCAAGAAGAGCCTCACTGAGAAAAGGAAATAGACATCAGACAAACAAGCTGCTGGTGTTTTCAGATCAATGGACTGACCAACACAGAGTCCAAGGTCGCTTTACAGAGGCAGGAATAAAAGACCATTAAAAACTTAATGTTTAGCCATTTTGCACTTTGGCCCATTTTTTGCCCAACAGTGTAACTAAATAAAAATACTAGGGGTCACTTACTCTATTTGGCCTAAGGATTTAGCACAAATGCTATAATGGATAGTACACGCTACTGATTTTTTTTTTTTATTCCTTTGAAAATTCCAGTTTACATGGGTGCAAATTCAATACAAACATTTCTCACAAATGAACTACTAAAAATACTATTTAAATACATTTGTGTATTTCCATTAATTACATGCTTTAGTAGCTCTTTATTCAGTCTGTTTTAGCTACAATCACCCAAATTGCCAACAGTGCACTTACATCTTTAGTGTCCAAATGCAGTGATGTTGAGAATGAATCACAGAACCTGTCACTGTCTCCAGAACACTCCTTCCCTGTTAAAAAGGAACAGTGTAAACATATAACCATGTATTATTTGTAACAGTACTACAGTGCCCATCCAGAAAATATATATTTGTTTATCAGCTTGATTTTACAATAAGAAGATCTAACCTTTCAGTGTGGCAAAATATAGTATAAAGACAAAAACAAATCTATATGTAATTGACTGCAACCTGTTATTGAGAGAACACACACACATACACACACAAATAAACATGTACACTGTTCTTTCTGTAAAAGGTTTTCTGCAAATTTGCACAATATAGACATAAAATGCAATGCTCGATAAAGCTGTTGGATATCAGGATGACGATTTGAGGACTGAAATTATTTTCAAATTTGTGCGCTTTGTTTTGGCTGTGTAAACAGAAATGTAACTAACTTGATTTCAGCAAATAGCAAAATACAAAAACACAACAGCATCACAGATGAATTGTAAATGTGATTTTACTTTTGTTTCTTATGAGGATGTAGGTATGAGGTGAGAAGGGTCTGGCTGCAGACATGCACTCTCAGCCTAACATGCACCGCCAGCCTATTGATGACGTCAGTGCCGCTCTGCCATGACAGTGTTTCTGTCGGTTTTATGAGGAAAAACAGTGAACCACGTACTGCTGGGCAACAAGAGTTACACTGGATGTATATTAACGTTGCCATACTGATAATAATGTAAATAAATATGGACTTTCAAAATAAAACCTACCACAACGATAAGACATGAATGTCAGGTTTATTCGCAGAAAGAACAAAAAGGCTACTGCTGAAATTCATGAAAGCCATGCTGAAGATGATTAGAGGCAGATATCAAAATCTGTAATATTGATTAAAATGGAACTTATAAAGGAGGCACCTCCTAGAAAGTTGTCAGACAACATTGTCATAACTTTCTGAAGAATTACATTTCAACATTGTGACAATATAGAAAGCACCAAGGACGTTGTCACAACGTAACTGTGTTTGCAGGGTCGTTAGGAATAAAACCTGAGGGTTTAGCTTCCTAACGGGAATTGGCTTGATGGTTGCCATTAGAGGCCATTAGGAAACGATCAAATGTATGTGGAATCAGTCCCGAAACACCTGATTAAACGATCTGAATCCTTTACACTGTGATATCAATTCCTCAGGAAAACACGGAATACCATTAGCGACTACTGAAAACCACCAGGAACCAACAGACATTTTTAATGGGTTCTATGACTTTTTTCAGCAGGGAGGTACATTAAATGGAATTCTCTAGGTGTGTTGAGGATGGAAAATGGATTAGGTGATGATATCGCTAAGCAGCAGCAGCCAAAAGTTACCGTGCCGTTGGGCCGCTTATGCCATTGGTCCTAAAAAATGTTAGCACCCACTCTATATATCTACCGACATTGAAAGAATACAGGTGAAATCTTCACAAACTTTTTGAAATCTGATATCACATTTGACCTCTCACTCACTTTTTATTCTCATAACAGCTTACTCATCTGCCACTTGTAACGCTGCGAGACTCTTCCCATACTCAGCAACATCGATGCAGACTTGCCAGCTAGAGTCCGCACTCACACTAAACACACTGCCCACATTACACTCATTCTCCATAAACTGTACTTGTTACCTGTCCCCTTCTGCATTCAATAAAGTTACTGCTCATACACTCCAAAGCCATCCATGCACTTGCCCTTCCACACTGCAGCACTCCTTCATCTCTCCATCCCAGCTCATTAACAAGACAAATTTATTTACATAGCACCTTTCATACACTGCGGTCACTCCAAGTGCTTTACAAATTAGAGAAAAGACAAAGACAATTCAAATTAAAATAGTTACAAAGTAAAGAAGAATGGAAATTAAAACATGACTAAAACAATAGATTAAGAGAGAAGAAACCAGTAATTAAATTAAAAATCAAATAAAAAATTAAATTAGGATAATAAAGAGCTGCTACATTAGAGCAGTGCAGTAGTGCTAACAGTGTTTTAAACTGAGCTGAAAGCTGCTCATATAGGAATGTTTTGAGCCCAGTGTCCAGTGTCTAATGCTCTCTGTCAACTGGTTCCATTTAAAAGCAGCATAGTAGCTAAAGACTTTTTCCTACATGTTTGTTCTTTACCTTACTCAGGACTAACTGACTAGTTCCTAATGATGTGGGAGTTCTGCTTGGCTCATATCGCTGCAGCATATCAGATAAATATGCTGATCATACACTATTAAGTGATTTATAAACCAGTAATAGTGAAGTCTTAAAGTCTATGCTGTAACATACCAGCAACCAGTTTTAAGGATTTAAGTTTAAGGATTTAGGAATGTGGTGGTGATTCCCTTCTTTTACTCCTAGTAAGACTCTGGCATTCCGGCACTTCTTTTTTGTGGGTCCAGTTAGGAGACCATTACAGTAATCAATCCTGCTAGAAATAAAGGTGTGGATGAGTTTCTCCTGGTCTGCTTATTTTATCAGAGTCTGTATTTAAATGAATGCCATTAATAACCTTAATTAGAGCCGTCGCAGTACTATGATTAGGCCGAAAACCTGACTGAAATTTGTCTTTAGAACTAAATTTGTCTCTTCAATGAAAAGTAGATTTAAAAATAGAGTTACCTCTAGCTGCTTTTCTTTTTTTTAAGAGTCTTCAAAACTGCAGTTTTATTATGTTAGGAAAAACACCCAACATGAGTGAGGTGTTTACTATCTGAAGTATGTCTGCTGCTATTGAGTGAAACACATTCTTGGTTGGTTGGTTCCATGTCAGGTCTGCAAGAAGATGATTTGAGATGATGCAATTTCATTATTAACAGCACTAAACTGGTACATTTTAACTACAATATCTTTCTGTGGTGAATGAGAGGACACTGGCTCATTGGAAGATACAGAGGTACTAATGGCTTGTCTGATATGGATTTTAGTGTTAAAAGTAACTCGTTACATTTCAGTTGATACTAATTCAGGGCCCATATATGTATATGACTTTTTTAGTTTGTCAACCACGGCGGAGAGTATTTTGCTGTTGTTTTTATTGTTGTTGATAATTGTCTAGCTTTGCACATATTGCTGTATTGTGTTGTAACCACACAGTCCATCTTTGAAGATTTCTTTGTGGATCTGAAGCTTGGATTTATGCCATCTGCCTTCAGCCTTCCTACATTCTCTCTTTTGGAACTGAACTGCAGTAGCAGCAGGAAAAAATTTACAAGTAAAAGATTTAGTCATTATTAATATTATTAGATATTATTGAAGTTATTTAATTAATTATTAATAATTCCATTACAGAATTAATTTAATCTTAAAAGTCATGCAAATTAAAGGCGTATAGAGTGCAGCTGCAGCAGACCTTATTTCACTGTTGATTTATTGCTGCTAAAACCATTTAAATGCATCTGGAGAGTGAAGGAACAATCGGTGTATTTATTCACCATTTCTTATTTTCATTACCATTCAGATTATTTGTCAAATGTCAGCAAAGAACCCCTTATTCATGCAAATGGTTCTTTGAGTGCTTATGGTTCTATATAGAACTATTTTACTAAAATACCGTTGCACAACCATTTGTTTATGTGTGTACTGTTACAAGCTTGACAATGCAACAGAAAAAAATTAAAAGAATATTTTTTAAAACATTTTTACCACCTTCTTAATACCCTGATATTGTGAAACTGCTAACAGCTCTCTGTCGCCACCATTTTGGAAATGCCCAAAAAGGAACAGTGCAGAACTGTAATATAACTGAAATCAAGGCCTTGAATGTCCAAACGTTCTGTTTTTGAGGACTCAGGAATTCTGTTTATAACTGTAATAATTTTAGAAGGTAAGTTAACTGTTTTTATTTACTGTCAGCTCAGTTCTGCTGAAAGGACTGATTGTATCCATCTTTTTTCTTACTCAATTTTGTTACTCAAAATCTCTAATGAATCTTCTAAGAATTTTCATTTTGGTGCATTACTAGTTTAATTCTCCAGCACACAAATCGAAAATGTCAATCAAAAAATATCACTGGATGCAGTATATATACACCTTTGACCAATACTACAGTGCTATTTCTCAGTGATGAGTCAGTGATGTGGTTTGACAAGCAGCATTAAAAAGGCTCATGGCAAAATCTGTATTGCCAGTGTTTTATGGAAAGGTAGTAGTAGTGGGTGATGCACATCTAAAAGATAACCATGAAGTGGGTTTCTCTGGCTATTTAGCACTAGCCAACACCAACAACTGAGGTAATATATTAACACAGGTGTAATTTTCTACAAAGTTACTGCCGTTATTGCTGCAGGATCCATAGTAACATTACACGATAAGTTTGTTAGCTGAATGTCTGTTCAACAGGACTGGGTTGCACCAGGTTTGGAAGTTTATACTTAAGTTTGTGTGTAAAGGCTTTACTAAGCCCTTAGTTACACTAGTTAGTTTCAAACTATCTTTTTACTAAATTTGGTTGCACTACAAATCGCTAAGTCATATCTTAACTAGTGATAACTAACTAATACATACATCGCTTTAACATGATAACATGTTCAGAACCAATCAGAAAACCTGCTGCCATGGCAATGTGAAGGCAGCTGCTCTGACTTTTTCAATGGAAAAAATGTCCAGCATAGAAGAGAACTGTGTGTACAAGTTAAACTGAATAAAACTAATTATCTACAGCCATTGCCTGTTTTTTCTTTAACATTTCCCTGAGAAAACCAAATATGCAGCTTTTTAAATGCCAGTTTTGGCTGAGCAACACAACAGCAGCCTCAGTTTAGCCGTTTGTGCAGCTGCTGAGTCTCACTGAGCTCGAGCTGTGGGGGTTTAGCTTCGCGTTTGGAGTTTAAACCAGGGCGATGATTACAGCTGTAAGTACAATCACAGCATACAGCGTTTAAATTTTTTAGCCTATTTAACCAAAAAAAGTCATGTTTTTGGTCTTTTTGTACTGTCTATGTCGTTTTTGGTGGCTTCCCCAAAACGTACACCTGTTCAAGGGGAAGTCTAAATTTAGTAACTACTAAGGTCAACGTTAAAACTGATGAGATGGGTAAATGCCATTCATTTAAGCTTGACACGTTTTATTAGCAACAAAGAACGCTCTTTTACCAAAATAAAATATCTGAGGTGGAACCATACAAATATCATATGAATATTAAACTGAATTTCACAAACCCCGCCTACTTTATTGGACCATAACCATATTTTTCAACTCTTATCTATACCAATACTGCCTTATTACCATCTTTGAATTTGGTCCATGGCTCCTCAGACAGTTGGACCTCTTTGTAGTTCATCTTCAGAATAGCCTTCACAATCTTTACAGCTCCACTCTGTCCATATCTCTGTATCATCTCATCCATAGTGTGAAGTATGTCTGTCTTCTTCAGAGGAGCTTCAGGGACGCAGGGGAATCCTTCCATGCAACCAATCAGATGCCCCTGGAATATTTTCAGGTCCGCTTGCCCCATGTTTTCAACAGTGACCCTTAACACTTTTGGAATATCTGCCATCTTGTATAGCTGAAAATGAAGATAGAATGAATGAATGAAGGCAATAAACTGAAGCACCATGTTGCTTGAAAGTTTGTGAAAGCTTTACCTTTACCCTCCCCTGGAATGATTATTTAACGAAAAAAAACATCAACAGTAAGGCACGTAACATTCTGGGAGATCACAAAAAACCCCAGGGTACAATCTAAGGACCTGCAAGCCTCTCTTATATTGGCTGATGTCAGTGTTCATAAGAACACAATAAGGCAAACAGTGAACAAAAACAGTACGTATGGAATGATAGCATGGAGAAAACCAGTAAAAGTTTCCTAAAGACACGCTGTACACATAATGTTTAACAAACTTTCAATAAAAACAGAGGATTCTGGTAAATAAAATATGATTATATACCACAGGAGGGTTGATACAAATTCAGATAACTGAAAATATCAAATTATAGATTTTAATTTAATGCTCCAGATCAAGTTTATCAGATTTTTCACCAGTTTCTGTATTACAACATGCTATTTTTAAATATTAATTCACAAGTGGCACAAGTGTCTAAGCTTTCAACCCATCACTGGGAGATTGTGAGTTTAAATCACAGTAATGCTACAAAGACCAGTTTTGAGCACAAAAAAATGTCAGTTATTAGCACACTATTGGTGGTATTTTTCACTGATTCCTATAAAACCACAGGTTTTTGCTGGATTTATTGAATAAAATTAGCCAATTTATCATTTAGCCATAATTTCTTATATGAGGGAAAATCCTCCTAAATGAAACAGTGTTGAAATAGTCAACAGATACAATATTGCCTACTAATGTACCACTTTGTGTACTATTCACATCAGTACTTTAATAAGCTTATTCGAACCGTATTTTGCAGCATACAATACATTTTACAATACAGTAGGCTGCATTTTTAATCAAAACATCTGTCAGGACGCAGACACACACACAGACACACACACAGACACACACACAGACAGACACACAGACAGACACACAGACAGACACACAGACACACACACAGACAGACACAGCCTGTTTTAAACGGAATAAAACATTAATTCACAACTTCAGTAAAAAGTCCATACATTTTGTTTAGTTTGGTCTGTAAGTCTTCAGTTTGAAATAGTGTCAATATACTGAAAATTTCAACTTTGATACAATACTTTGAAATATATTGAAATAAAACACCATTTCAATACCAAAGGTAGATAAAATTTACTTTTTTTTTTAGATAAAAATAATCAAATAAGCATAATATTTCCCTTGTAAATCACTGTTCTTGTTCAAAAACACAGACTGCAGCACTTAAAGGTCAAAAAATAAAAAGGTGGAGTGAATGCCATGTGTAAACAGAAAATTCAATAATTTTACATTAATAAAAAAGAAAGTGAGGGTAGTGCACTCTGATACTGTGAAATTGCCACATTATCACAAGCAGTGCACACAGAGCAGCATGAGAGACACACGGAAATATATAAATTGTCAATCAAATTCTATATTTTTAATTAACACCGGAAGCACTCCGTTGTCGACACAAAAACGGCTGAGGCCATTACTGGATGCTTTAAGGTTACTTCAAGTTAGACATTTGCTCCATGCAGGCTCTCCACCAGTGAGCCACAAGGTTCAGTGCTGGGTCTTCGTCTCCTTTCACTCCACGCTCATTCTCTTGGTGACGTAATCTTGGTGATGTAATATCCTCTCTTGGCTTCTCTTACCACTATGCTGATGACACCCCACTAATACTCAGGTTTCCAGTCGCAACGCATGTCTGACTGACATCTCTTCATGAATGGCAGTTCACTATCTGAATCTCAATCCAAGCAAGAGTGAACTGCTATTAATCACTGGAACTACAGGTCTTCATGATCTTGCCATCTCATTCGAGAACTCTTTACTCCTTTGTCTGAAGATGCCAGAAGTCTTGGTGTAATTCTGGAGGGTCAGTTATCGTTCTCATATTGCAAACCTGACTGTCATGCAGGTTTCTCCTTTACAACATCCAGAGGATTTGTATTTTTGAGATATTGGACCCTTTTTTGCCTTGTCACCAGGCACCATTGATGGAGTTTCTGGGTGTGCACTTGGACAACAAGCTGGACTGGAGCTGTAACACTCTCACGGTGTACAAGAGAGGCCAAAGCCTTCTCTACTTCCCGAGGAGGCTGAGGTCCTTTGGTGTGCGCACGAAGCTCCTATGGCCATTCCACCAGTCTGTTGTAGTGAGTGCTCTATTCTGTGCTGTTGTGTGCTGGAGCAGCGGCATTAACAGAAGTGCTCTAAACAAAATAAACAAACTTATTAGGAAGGCTGGCTCTGTTGTAGGAGTCAAGCTGGACTCTCTGGCGGTTGTGGCAGAACAAAGGACCCTCAACAAGCTGTTAGCCACATTTGACAACACCTCACACCCTCTGCATGCTACACTGGATAAACAGAGAAGCACATTTAGTAGCAGACTGCTATAGCTGCACTGTGTTAAAGAGCTGTGTGAGATCTTTCTTACCCACTGATATACGGCTCTACAACGAGTCTCCTTACTGCAGAGATGGTACTGATCTCCTGCTGTCTGAACTGTGCTGAACCACATCACTATATCACCTCTCCTGTTAATACACACTGAGCAATATATCATAAATGCTACTGTAATGGCACTTTCACTATGCACTTTAGACTGTAAACACTGCTGATATTCATAGTTACACTTATAGTCGTTGTGTTGCAACTACCTCATACCACTTGGTGCAACACCTGCTCTCATGTAAATACAACAAATGTGTTGTATATGCTAAGTAAATATGCTATAGATATACTTTTATTCCTACTCTTTCATAGTTTATTTGATGTCTATTTTTCTATTTCTGCCTAACATATGTAAGTTTGTGCAATTATGTGGCACTGAAGACCCATCTCCTGGTGAAGCACTAATCTAAGTACTTAATGAATGCATTGTGTTGTACATATGCTATATTATTAATAATAATAATAATAATAATAATAATAATATATAACTGATAACTGTGATAACTCTGGTACCAGTGACTGCGATATTAAATTGTCATACTGTTTCATCTCTACTGCTACTGAGCCCTGATTATTTTATGGAGAGCTGATTATTTGGCAAACAGAGCAGCTCATCAAATGAGTAAAGCAGTTCTCTCTGACATTATGAATGTACGAGACGCCATCATAAAGTCCAGTTATAGGAGGGCAGAAGTGCTTAAAAACATAAAGCCAGTGTTAATGTTTTCTTTTTATATATAAAAAAAAAGTTTAATCATTTACAAACTATGAATTTGCTCAAATGCTCCACATTAACCAATTCATTTTGGACAGATTAAGGAGCAAAGTTAAGCGCTGTTAAAATGAAAGGTGATGTAACACAGTGGCGAACTTGCTCCTGTTCCAACTTTTTGAAACGTGCTGCAGGCATCAAGTTTGGAATAAATTGGCATATATTTCCAAAAACAATCAAGTTCATGTTTTTGTACCCTTTTCAATTTGACACAGGTCAATTTAATACTAATAACTGCTTGCAGTTTTTATTAGCATTTCATATACTGTCCCATCTTATCTGAGAATTGGGTTTGTAAATGTATGTGTGAGTGTTCACATTACATAATAAATGTAACCTGTCTAATACCCTGATACTGTGAAACTGTATTAACAGCCATGTGTAGTATTCTGTACAGACTGCAATAATTTTAGAAGGTGTGTTTACTGTTCATTTATTGTCAGTTTAGTTTTGTTGAATGAACTGATTGTATCTACATTTTGTCTTAATTATTTAATTTGTTTCATTCAAAAGCATAAACATGAAAGGCAATAACAATATCTTGGTTTTCGGTTTTATGGCTGAGTGTGTCCTGAATTTCAGTTTCAGTTTTGTCTAAGAATTTTTTTTTTTAGTGCATCACTAGTTTGAATTAATTCTCCAGCACATACTCTCCTCTGTTTGATCATCACTGAATGTGGTCTGCCAATACTTCAAGATATATACAACAGCAAGGTCAGTAAACGCGCTGGCAAGATTATAGAGACCCCTCTCATCCTGGACGTCACCTCTTTCTCCCAGAGCTGTAGCACTGAGTAACCACAGTGGACACCTTGCACATTAAACTGAATCTCACAAACCCCTCTTGCTGTGGCCCTTAACTATAGTTTTCAGCTCTTCTCTATAACATTACTGCCTCATTACTGTCTTTGAGTTTGGTCCTTACCTCATCAGAGAGTTGGATCTGGTTCATCTTCTTCAGGACAGCCTGTGAAAATTACTACAGCTCCACTGCGTCCATATCTCCGAATCATCGTATCCACAGTGTCAAGTCTGTCTGCCCTCTCCAGAAGAGCCTTTGGAATGCAGGGGAATCCTTCCACACCATTAATCAGATGCCAGTGGAATTTTCGCAGATCCTCTTGTGTCAGCTCATGAAGAGTATCCAGCAACACTTCTTGAATGTTTTCCATCTTGTATAGCTGGAAATAGAGATGGACAATAGACTGATGTATAATAGAGGGTTCTGGTAAATAAAAAGAAAAATATGATTATGTTCTACAAGAGAATTGTTTCTGCGGGAATGTCTCCATTAGCAGTAAACATCTATAAAAACAGACCATTTGTTGTTTAAAAGGAATCTGCTTTTAAAAATGACACAGGCCAGACGTCTTTGTTTTACTACAAGAGCCCAACTGATTTGAACATTTTTTGACTGATACCAGTTTAAGAGGCTACAAATTTAGATAACTGATATGAAATGCTATATTTTTCATTGTTTTTTTTCTGTTTTACATTTTTTAATGTTTGAGATTTGAACAATTATGCTCTTACTGGATTCACAAGTGGCACAATTGCCTAAGCTTTCAACCTATCAGTGGGAGAAGGCAAGTTTAAATCAGACACAGCAGTGCTGCTGGAGTGTTTAAATGCTGTGTCCACTCACTGTCCACTCTATTAGATACTCCTACCTTGTCAGTCCACCTCGTAGATGTTGCTAGAAGACTCAGTGCTTTTAAAGCCAGCACAACTAGCCACACTAAAAGCTCCCCCAGAGCTGTAGCACTCCAAAGTGGACACCTTGCACATTAAACTGAACCTCACAAACCCCTCTTGCTGTGGCCCTTAACTATAGTTTTCAGCTCTTCTCTATAACATTACTGCCTCATTACTGTCTGAGTTTGGTCCTTACCTCATCAGACAGGTGGATCTTATTCATCTTCTTCAAGATGGCCTGTGAGATTACTACAGCTTGATTATGTCCATATCTCTGAATCATCTTATCCACAGTGGCAAATCTATCTGCCTCCTCCAGAAGAGCCCTTGGGAAGTGGGGGAATCCTTCCACACCACTACTCAGATGCCACTGGAATCTTTTCAGGTCCTCTTGCCCCAAGTTTTCAACAGTGCACAGCAACTGTTGAAAACATTTTGCCATCGAGTATAGCTGGAAATGAACATAGAAGACAGAATGAAGACAACAGACGATAGGCTGATTGTTTTGTTGACCACATCATACCACTAGAATTTATTCTTTTCGTCTTGTAAGCTGCCAGATTTGCGGAGTGCATCCTGTACTAACAGATACTGAAACTGCAGTTTTTTTTAAACTTGTTACGACATTGTTCGATAGTTCTTTGGTTCCCACAAACATTAAGATAGTCACAAAGACAGACGCTTGTATACTGTATCAAGTTGTTCCTGTATACTCTTGTCTGCCAGCAAACACTGCACCTCTGCCATAGGTTACAGGCTCGGGCACGGTAAGTGATCACACTAGATGCATACTGTGTCCAAGTCCACCATGACCAAGCTCATCTCTTCAAGCAGGCCACAGCATGGCATGGTATGGAGCGATCATACTAGTCAAAGGAACTGGCTTTTTGGGATCAAACATGCTTGGGGACAGTGCGGAATGCCTAGTGTGAGTACACCCTAAAACTGGTGGCAAAGGCTCTGAACTTGACGCAGCTGCCATTTTAGCACAGCAAACTGCTCCGCTAGCGAGTCAGTTTAAGGGGAGCCTGGCCACTTCCTATCAATCCTGTTACATTAAAAACATAACTGCAAAATGCCAGATGGTGCCCACAATGTGCTCATACCTTAAACTCAGCTCACTAAAAAGATTTGCTAAACATGTGACTGACTTTTTACCATTTTTCTTTTTTGACCTGCTGTTTTTTCTTCTTTCGTGCTCTCAGTTTTCATTGGCAGTTTTAGGAATCCATTCAGATGGAGTCGCTGACCAGTATACACTACTGGATTACGTTCAGAGTTGGGTAAACAAAAAAAATCAAATGTCTGATTTTCTCTGACTGATCTGAAATGCAATCAGGAGCCAAACAATCCTGTATGTGCCCCTTGAACACTACTCAATTTTCTCTCCAGCTGTCGACTGCAACTAAAATTACTTTCTCTGAGTAGACAACAAAGCACTAAGAGCATCTGCTAAATGCTGTAATGTAGTGTAAATGTGTTAAAAGGTTTTATACTGTTCTGCAGTCCATGTATGATACAAACACATGCTGCATTGTTAGTCTGTAATATCACACACAGCAGCACTCAAACACAAAGAACTTAAGCTGTTTGCCTCAGAGCTTCACACTACCCACCTGCTACACCAGAAAGAGACTGGCTACATCCAAAACCATGAAATGAAGAAATCAATTAATTGAATATGAACATGTTTATTAACAAAACTGCCCAAAGCCAAAGATGAACATAATACACACACACAAATGGAAGATATTCATCTGTGTGTGCATTCATTATTATTATTATTATTATTATTATTATTATTATTATTATTATTATACTACATGTGGTATAGTAGTAAGTTGTTTGGAATGTTTTCTGCTCACCATGCATTCTTTCACTCAGGCACTCTCTCCAAGTATATAGTGACCTGACATAATTGAGCTGGAAGATTTTAAGGAAAGGTCATGCTCTATTACAGATTATCAAATCAGGCATGTGTTCTTTTTTTGGCTAGCATCCAAATTTCCCCCAAAGTTAAGCACTGTTAAAATGAAAGGTGATGTAACGCAGTGGTAAACATGCTCCTGTTCCAACTTTCTGAAACGTCTTGCAGGCATCAAGTTTGGAATTATGGCCGAGTGTGTCCTGAATTTCAGTTTCAGTTTTGTCTAAGAATTTTTTTTTTTAGTGCATCACTAGTTTGAATTAATTCTCCAGCACATACTCTCCTCTGTTTGATCATCACTGAATGTGGTCTGCCAATACTTCAAGATATATACAACAGCAAGGTCAGTAAACGCGCTGGCAAGATTACAGAGACCCCTCTCATCCTGGACGTCACCTCTTTCTCCCAGAGCTGTAGCACTGAGTAACCACAGTGGACACCTTGCACATTAAACTGAATCTCACAAACCCCTCTTGCTGTGGCCCTTAACTATAGTTTTCAGCTCTTCTCTATAACATTACTGCCTCATTACTGTCTTTGAGTTTGGTCCTTACCTCATCAGAGAGTTGGATCTGGTTCATCTTCTTCAGGACAGCCTGTGTGATCCGTACAGCTCCACTGCGTCCATATCTCCGAATCATCTTATCCACAGTGTCAAGTCTGTCTGCCCTCTCCAGAAGAGCCTTTGGAATGCAGGGAAATCCTTCCACACCATTAATCAGATGCCAGTGGAATATTTGCAGGTCCTTTTGCTTCAGCTCACGAAGAGTATCCAGCAACACTTCTTGAATGTTTTCCATCATGTATACCTAGAAATGAAGATGGACAATAGACTGAAATATAACAGAATAAAAAAAATATATATATATGATTGTTATACAGATAAATTATTTCTGCTGAAATGTTTTCATTGGCAGTAACAATCTGCTTTAAAAATTACTCTCAGAATAAGTTCAGTGTGGAACAGTTGACTTGTTTACTACTAGGGCCTGACTGATTTGAAAATTGTGACTGATACTAATTTAAGAGGCTACAAATTCAAATAACTGATGTCAAATAATATGCTATTATTTTAAGTCAGCTACTGAATGGTTGTCATTACTGCTACTGCTACAGAGCTGATCGTTTGGAAGCAGGGCAGCTCATCAAATGAGTGAAGCAGTTCTCTTTGATATTATGAACATACATGAGGCACCGTTAAAAAGACAAGTTATAGGAGTTCAAAAGCGCTCAAAAATATAAAGACAGTGTTGAAATGTTTTAATCTGTTCTGTCTTCAGGATATAAATCTATTCTTTTACATAAAAAATGTTTAAGCATTTACACATTATAACTTTGCTCAAATGCTCCATATTAACCAATTCATTTTGGACTTGCTCAGGAGCGCCCTCTAGCGTCTAACAAACCTGGAAGATCTTACAGAGTAGGGGTGGGCGGAACAATTCACAAACGCCAAAAATCAATTTTATAAATTTTAATTGATAACGTAATGTTGACAGAACATAAAAGGCGGAACTTGGAAGTGCAGAGGGGCCTGGACGTGGCGGCAAACTACATTAAAAGCTATTGCAGGGGTCGCAACCCAATATTAATAAGAGTCATTTTGTCCTTTCAACAAAAATAAAACCACCGTGGGAGCCACAACATTTTAAGTCCATTTTGCCATCTTGGCTGTATGTGTCTCAGTACGTGCTAATGTCCTAGCATAGGCTAAAAAATATAATACAAAAGACTTACTCTGCTCTGCTTCAAGCTTTAGCTCAGCTTTAGCCACTTTTCTTGCATCACCAGCAGAAAACTTTACCTCAAAAGTAGAACAGTTTCTTGTAAAATGTCTCTCAACGTCGGCTTTTTACAAGGCTGAAGTCGTGTCTCATTCTCCACCTTCTTGTTCGAATTTTCCCGTTCCACCTTAAATGGTGCAGCAGTTACATTCTGGCGCCTCAGGCACCATTTAAGGTGGAACAGGAAACTTCGAACAATAAACTGGTGAATGAGAAGCTTCGTGAATTTTTAGTGTTTAACAGTTTCTTGTTGCCAGGAAACCAGCTGGAGTGATTATAAATGCAAATAAGTCCATTCGTCTCTAAATTATCAATGTTCGTCTTAAATCTTTCTCTTTGCCTTTTCATTAGCTACTAGCTAGGTGAATTAGCAGTTACAGGCTACAATAATTCCAACGTTTAAGATCATTTATTGTTAAACTGCACTGAACGATCAGCAGAGCTTTATTTTACTGCAAAGGAGGATTATTTTATTTTTACCTAGTCATCTAATTCTGATGTGGAACCACAGCAAGGCTGTAAAAGAGCCGTACGTTGCCGACCCCTCAGCTAGTGTATGGTAGCACTTTGGCTTCTGGAAACGAGATAGACATTAGAAACCGTATTATATGCTTTCACCCATTTTCTGCCTGATTGTACTTGCTGCCAACCAGAGGACCATCGAGCAAGCCTATGTCAAAGCCTCCACACAACTCAGAAAGGACGAAGCAAATTAGAAACTCTATCACAATTTTTATTACAAAGGATTTGCATCCGTATTCAGTAGTGGAGAACCAGGGATTTCGTGCTACGTTGCACTTTGGAGCTGAGATACAGCGTCCAGTCTTGAAGATATTTTACTGACACAGCGACCAGATATCATCGAGCTGAAAGATTTTATAGAAAAATCATTCTCAGTTAAAGATTATCAAATTAGCTGTGTGTTTTTCCTCAATTCCCCCAAAGTTAAGCGCTGATAAAAGGACAGGTGATGTTATGCAGTGGTAAACATGCTCCTGTCCCAAATTTTTTGGAACATGCTGCAGACGTCAAATTTGGAAGGAGCATATATTTACAAAAAACAATGAAGTTCATAAGGTAAAATATAAATTTAAAATGGTAAGTCAAACACAATTTACTAATCGTTGCTTGTTGATTTTATTAGCATTTCATATACTGTTCCATCTTATTTGGAATTAGGTTTGTAAATGTATGTGTGAGTGTTCACATTACATAATAATGGTTCTTTTCATTTTCACCATATTCACCAACGTTAACAGCAGTCTACAGATCAAGAATTATTTGTAAAAATTGGATATTTGCAAACAATATGGCCGCCACGTGCCAATTAAGCCCTTCTGGGTTTAGCTCATCTTACAAAAATGGCTACAGATCAGGATTGCTTTGGCAAATTCTCATTAAACTTAAAAACCTTATAAATCACATGATTTTGAGCAAGCTCACTAGGTTTGACACCGATTATTCAATAGGGGGTGTTGCCACCATTGGCCAATAAGCTTTCAAAAGCATTCAGAACGCTTAGCATTAGTCAATAATCATCAAAATCGAATGATGTGTCCACAAAGGCAATCTCTAATAGTGTATCAAGTTGCACATTAAAGCCCATAACTATATTTTTCAGCTCTTCTCTATAACATTACTGTCTCATCAGCGTCGATGAGTTTCGTCCTTACCTCCTCAAACAGTTCGATCTCCTTCATCTTCTTCAGGATAGCCAGTGTGATCTGTAGAGCTCCACTGCGTCCATATCTCTGAATCATCTTATCCAGTGTGTCAAGTCTGTCTGCCCCCTCCAGAAGAGCCTTTAGGATGCGGGGGAATTCTTCCACACCATTAATCAGATGCTGCTGGAATATTTCCAAGTCCTCTTGCCCCAGGTTTTCAACAGTGTCCAGCAACACTTTTGGAACGCTTTCAATCTTGTATAGCTGGAAATAGAGATGGACAATAGACTGATGTATAATAGAGGGTTCTGGTAAATAAAAAGAAAAATATGATTATGTTCTACAGGAGAATTGTTTCTGCTGGAATGCCTCTATGAGCAGTAGCCGTCTACAAAAAAAAAGACCATTTGTTGTTTAAAAGTATCTGCTTTAAAAATTTGCTCACTAAATAAGTTCAGTGTGGGCCAGATGTCTGTTTTACTACTAAGGCCTGACCGATATGATAATTGTGACAAACCAATTTAAGATTGTTACAAATTCAGATAACTGATGATATCAAATGATATATTTTAATACTCCAATTGTTTCAAATTTTATCAGTTATTTGCACTGAAAAGGTTTTTTTTGTGTTACATGCTATTTTTTTATTTATGTGTAACTTTAACAATGATAATCTTATTGAGTTTACAAGTGGCACAACTGTCAATGGGAGACTGTGAAGCTAAAGAGCCTAGCTTCTCATAAACCATTTTTCTGAATGAGCTTGAGAAAACCAGTATTTGCTGGCCATGATCTTCGGACCCTCGGGTAGCGCTGCATTAAAAACAGACATGATTCTGTAGTGGAAATCACTGCATGGGCTCAGGAACACTTCTAAAAACCACTGTCTGAAAACAGTTCGTTGCTGCATCCACAAATGCAAGTTAAGACTCTACCATGCAAAGAAGAAAATCATAAATAGGATCTAGAATGTTGTTAAATGAAAAGGTGATGCAATACAGTGATCAACATGTCCCCATTTCAACTTTTTAGGAATGTGTTGCTGGTATCAAAATTTCTCAGTTTCCACATTTGATATGTCTTATGAAATCACCTAAAGCTAACATGAACAAAGAGAAAAGCAAAGGCACCCAAACTGAACCTTGTGGGACCCGACAAAAAAATGCTACATTTTTTCGATGAATGATTTCCCATCGAAACCAAGAACTGTTAATGCATTAAATATACAATACTGCGTCTGAGACGCTGACTCAGCATTCAAGACGGTGGACTAGAATCTTGTCATCAATGGTATAAAAAGCTGCACTAATTTTGTGCATCAGTGCATCAGTTCATTCACAACAACTAATGCTGTCTCAGTACTATGGTTAAAATGAAAACCTGACCGAAGCTTACCATATAACTTGCTTGATATGAAATACACATTTTATTAAATGATCTGATTTATCATTTGAGCTTGATTTATTATTCCAGTCCGCCTGGAAGGAGAGCCTTATAGACTATAGAAGAGCACTTGCTACAGCACACTCAGCCTCTCTCCTCTCTCATAGAAAACAATAAAAAATAATCCTAAATTACTTTTCAGCACAATCTCTAAACTAACAGAGAACAAAACAGTTACTGAACCCCAGATGCCATTAGCCTAAAGCAGCAAAGATTTTATGAACTTCTTTAGTGATAAAATTGAAAAAATTCAGAATACACAATTAAACTCTACAAACCTCTGCCTTATAATGCCAATCTAAATCCTGAGAATATTCTAATCACTGCAGAGAGGCTGGAATCATTTACCTTACTACAAGAAAATGAACTAGTTACAATTGTTTCCTCTGCAAAATCTTCTAATTCTATGTTAGATCTGATTCCTACAGGTTTACTCAAGGAAATTTTGCCAGAAATAACCAAGCCTATTCTGTCAATAATAAACTCCTCTCTTAGCCTTGGATACATCCCAAAAACTCTTAAACTAGCAGTAATTAGACCGCTGAATAAGAAAGCTAACCTCCTCCTCGATCTTAGTGCGGCATTTGACATGATAGACCACTCTATCTTACTAGATAGACTAGAAAACCTTGTAGGGATAACAGGAACAGCTCTTTTCTGGTTCAGGTCTTACCTCACTGATCGCTAGGGGTGCGGGAAAAAATCGATTCTTAGATGCATTGCGATGCAGATGTGAACGATTCTGAATCGATTCACAAACGTCAAAAATCGATTTTCTAAACATTTAATTTATAACGTAATGTTGACGAAATGTAAATGGTGGAACTTGGAAGTGGGTAAGTGCAGCGCCCGGACAGTCTGTGGTGGCACACAACAAAAACACTACTGGATGAGCGAGAAATCCGACCGGCTCCCTCTGCATTAAAGCCAGGTTAGGTCAGGAGTCACAACACAAATGATAAGAAGAGCCATTTTGTCCTTTCAACAAAAATCAAACCACCTTGGGAGCCACAACATTTATGTCCAGTCTGTCTCAGTATGTGCGAATGTCCTAGTATGAGTTAGGTTAAAAAATATAAATGAGAGCGCACTTAGCTACTTTGCTCTGCTTTAAGCTTTAGCTATAGCCGCTTTCCTCCCCTTTCCACCAGAAAACTTTTCTTCAGAGGTAGATCAGTTTCTCGTAAAACGTCTCTCAGTATTCCACATTTTTACGAGACTGAAGTCGCTTCTTTTTCGAATTTTCGCAATCCACCTTAAATCCTGACTGAGGCACCGAATGTACATGCGGCACCATTTAAGGTGGAACGGGAAAATTCTAAAGAGAAGCGACTTCAGCTTTGCTACTGTTTAGTGTTTGAGAGTCTCTTGTTGCAGATTTAACTTACCAGGAAACCAACTGCGCTGCTTATAAATGCGAATAACGCATCGTTGCTATCTGACCTGCAGTCTGCATGGTAATTCTTAGTCGTTGCGAAACAGGGCTTTCGCGCTATGCTGCACTCGCCCTGTCTCGAACATATTTCACTGACACAGCGATTCCCCTGCCCCACTTTTTACAACGAGACCAAAACCAAAGTTATAAAATCACTAAAGAAAACAGGCAGGACGGCTGTAACCTGCTGCGTGGTCATCTAATACCACTGGATCTTATTTCACTCTAACAGCGCATTTTATTGCAGATGTCTCCTGTGCTCCAAACGAGCAGTTAATGAGAGCCTTCTAGTTCTCTTGCCACATCACTTCCATTTGATTTATTAATAAAAGATATTGGAAGTAAATTCATTATGAATCATTATAAGTACTTTGCTTTAAAAGTACCAAGTCCTGACACAGTGAGAAAACAGAAATCCTGTATAGAAAAAAAGATGCATCGAGATGCATCAATAATCGTTTTATAATCGCATCGCAGCATCTGAATCGTAATCGAATCGAATTGTGAGGTGCCTAGAGATTCCCACCCCTACTGATCGCTATCAGTTTGTTAATGTTAACGGTGAATCATTTGTCCTCACAAAAGTATGGTGTTCCACAAGGCTCTGTTTTAGGACCTATATTATTCACAATATATATGCTACCACTGGGCACCATTATCAGTAAACACTGCATAAATTTCCACTGTTATACCAATGACATGTATGTGTATGTGTATATATATATATATATATATATATATATATATATATATACACACACACACACACACACACACACACACACGTATATAAAAAGCAAACTGGATGATAACATTAAACTTAGCAAGATTGAGGACTGGACGTCAAGGAACTTTCTCCTACTTAACTCATAATAAAACAGAGGTTCTACTTCTTGGTCCAAAAGCTGCTAGAAACAAACTGTCTAATTTTACACCTAAACTTAACAATTTCTCAGTTGCATCAAGCTCATCTGCAAAAAATCTTGGTGTCATTATAGACCCTGATCTGTCCTTCGACACACATATAACTAATATAACTAGAACAGCCTTCCTGCATCTCCGCAATATTGCTAAATTGAGAAATGCATTATCTCTACAGGATGCAGAAAAGTTAGTTCATGCATTTATTACTTCAAGGCTAGATTACTGTAATGCCCTGCTGTCTGGATGTCCCAGCAAGAGCCTTAACAAGCTTCAGCTGGTCCAGAACGCTGCAGCCAGAATCTCACAAGAACCAGAAAGTTTGACCATATCAGCCCAGTTCTATCAACCCTACACTGGTTACCAGTTAAATTTCTCATTGATTATAAAATTCTCTTACAGACCTATAAAGCTCTAAACGGACTCGCCCCTCAGTACCTGAGTGAACTGCTCTCTTATTATGAACCATCACGCCTACTTAGATCACAAGGTACTGGTTTACTATTAGTACCTAGAATGAATAAAGTTACGTCAGGGGGGAGAGCTTTCTCATACAAAGCCCCCCAGCTTTGGAATAATCTTCCTGTTAATGTTCGGGACTCAGACACAGCCTCAGTCTTTAAGTCTAGGCTAAAAACTTACTTGTTTAGTCAAGCCTTTGGTAATTAGTTTTCCCTGTCAGATCTAGACCTGCTGGAGTCTCTGCTGCTCTGTTTATACTGTAATCTGTGATCAGTCACTCTTTACAGAACTGACTCTGTGTGTTTTCCTTTCTTTGCTGAGTTGAACAGCTGCCCATCCTGTGCATCTGATGCTGTTGCCTCTTCTGCCTTGATCGGGTGCCCACTGCTTGCCAGCCTTCTGGACCGTCTTGACCACCATTGAGCTTCATGCTGTACAACGCTGTGCAAACCTCACCCTCATGACCCGCAGTGTACAACACATTACAGGCTACATTTTTAAGTAAAATATCTGTCAGGACACACATACAAAAATACAAAGCCTATATTTAACTGGATAAAACATTAATTCATCAATAAGGGAAAAATGCACAACTTCAGTAAAATATTAAACAAAAAACTGAAGGTAATTTTACTGTTTTTTGAAATTCAACGCCATTTTCCATACTAAAGGCAGATACAATTAAAGATTTTTTTTTTTTTAGATAAAAATATCCAAATAAACAGAAGATTTCTCTTGGAAAACACAGTTCTTGTTCACAGACGCTGACAGACATTCAAAAGTCAAACAAATAAAAAAGGTCTGACTACGATGTGTAAACAGAAAAATAAATAATTTTATTTTAGTGGAAAAAAAAAATCCTAGTGAGGGTAGTGCACTATACTACCTTCAAAATGCTATGTTCACACAAGTGCAGCAGCATGAGAGACAAACAGAAATACAGCTTGTGCCAAAGACCTCTCAATAACCAAATTTTTATCATGCACTTATTATTGGATGCTTCACGACAGTGGTTGCCAAACTTTTTACAGTCCTGTACCCCCTCAGACATTACACTTCCTGCTGCATACCTTCTCTGTCACACACTCGTATATATATTGCCATAATGCATATGCCCCTTAACCTTTAGGCAAGGAAAAAAACTAGTTTTCAAGAAGTGATGTCATTGGCAGCTGTGTAGGCTAGGGCAGAAGTGAGTGGATAAATCCATATACAAAAACTGATTTAGTGAAATCTTAAATCCCCCCCCAAAGTGTTTGCATATATACGTCAAATTACAACCCCATCTCCAAAAAAGTAAATGAAAACAAAACGCAATGATGTGCAAATAATTTAAACCTAGCTGGGCGATATGGCCAAAAATGTTATCACGATAAACAAATTTCATATTGTTCGATATCGATACATGTCAAATCATTGTTTCTTTCAAGTTTGAAGGCTGACTTTTGCTCCTGGGTGGTTAATCGCTGTTTAAACTGTCCTTTATGGTCAGAACACGACAAACATTAGCCAAACAGTGGAACATTTCACAAATCTGTCATGGGAGAGTGGGAGAGAGTTTCTGGTGAGCCGTTTTTACCAGCTGGAAAAGCACCGCTGTGGTTTTTGTAATAGTCATAATTTAAGAAAGAAAACATTATTTTAGCTGTCTGGTGACGAGTGCTAGACTATCCCGTTACACATGCTAAACAAGTGGCCAACAACAGTGCTAAACTGTTTAGTTTCTCAACAATGTCAACAGACAAACGGAGTCCTCCTTTTAGGTATTTTTAAGCTGAAAGCAGTGCTTTTGTGACTTGTCTGATCTACAGTATCATCAATTCGCCATGCTGTGTGAGTGACGGAGCGCTCCCTCAAGTTAGCCAGCTGCTAAAAACAGCTAGCCTGGAAAGATAGCGCTCTCCCGCTTTGCAATGCCTCGGGTATGCACTAATACTAAAATACGACTTTTTGAGCACTGTAACAGCGCTTTAGTTGTGAGGATTTAACGCTGCTAAAGCTGGTTAGCATGTTAGTAAAGAGGTGAGTTCGCTGTAGGACAGTACAGTTACACCACTTATCTCATCACTCACACTCGGTCACAGGAGAGCAGATCGCAGGTCGCCCCACTCAAACAGGGAATGTATAACTCCGCGTTTCAGACATTGCTAAAGTTTATTTGGCGACCCTTTTTTTTTTTTACTCATGGCCCCCTCCCTCTCTAATCATGTCGAAAAACTCGGAAGTGCGCCATCTCCTGGCGACAGCAGAGTAGTGTCGCTTTCCTTGCAGTAGAAAACGCCACCAGGGCTTTCACTGAACGTGGAAGTGTGAGAATGGTGTATTATATCGAACATTCATCGAATATGTCGCATCGCTCTATCGAGGAAAAAAGTTATATCGTGATAATTATCGTTATCGTTTTATCACCCAGCCCTATTTAAACCCTATATTTCACTGAAAATAGTACAACACATCAAATGGTAAAACTGAGAAGTTTTATTGTTTTTGACAAATGTATGCCGATTTTGAATTTGATGGCAGCAATGCATTCCAAAAAATTTGGGCCTGTTTACCACTGGAACTGAGGAAACCAATTGCTGTAGTTTTGAAAGTGAAATGTTTCCTGTTCTTACTTGATATAGGATTTCAGCTGCTCAGCAGTTCAGGGTCTCCTTTGTCATATTTCTCGTTTCATAAAGTGCCATATGTTTTCAGTGGGTGACAGGTCTGGACTGCAGGCAGGCCAGTTTAGGCCCCCTAACTTTGTAGAATGTGGTCTTACACTGCCTTGCTGAAATAAGCAAGGCCTTCCCTGAAAAAGACATGGTCTGAATGGCAACATATGTTGCCAAAACCTGTATCTCTCATTCAGAATTAATGGTGCTTTCACAGTTGTGCCAGTCACCCATATCATGTGCACTCCCATTTCATCACGGATGCTGGCTTTTGAACTGTGTGCTGATAACAAGCCTGATGGTCATTAGCCTGGAGGGCACAGTGTCCATGGTTTTGATTTGTTGGACCACAGAACATTTTCCACTTCACCTTCACCTGGAGGTTAGGGAACCAGCCCTGTGACCGGAAGGTCGCCGGTTTGATAACCAGAGCCGACAGTACGTGACCGAAGTACCCTTGAGCAAGACACCTAATCCCCAACTGCTCCCCAGCTGCTGCGGATAGGGCTGCCCACCGCTCCGGGCAAGTGTGCTCACTGCCCCCTAGTGTGTGTGCGGTGTTTCACTTCATGGATGCGTTAAATGCGGAGGTGAAATTTCCCCATTGTGGGACTAATAAGGGTCACTTAATCTAATTAATCTCAGTCCATCTCAAATGAGCTCAGACACAGAGAAGGTGGCAGTGTTTCGAATGTTTAAATTAACCACCAAGTGTTTTTTTTAGCAGTACACAACTTTACCAGTCTTTTGTTTCCTCCGTCTCAAATTGTTTGGAATGTGTAGTTAACATTGAATTCAAAATGGGCATATATTTAAAACACAATACATTTTTTTCAGTTTCAACATTTGATATGTTGTCTTTGTACTATTTTCAAATAAATATGGGGTTTAAATGATTTGCACATCATTGCATTTTGTTTTTATTTACATTTTGCACAGCGTCCCAACTTTTTTGGATTTGGGGTTGTACATCCACTCTGCATCTAAGCGCTGATCAGCCGCTACAGTCTATTAACTCACTACAACCACATCTGTAAAAGTGAAACTCAAGCAGCTAGATAACTAACAATCATACAAGCCTTAATGACACTTACTAAAGGGTACTTCGCTCACGCACATAACAGTGCATGATAAAATTAAGTACTTATACTAGAAGACTTGGAAAAGACTTGGAAAAGACTTTGAAAAGACTTTTGAAAGACTAAAACACAGTGTCACAGTTTTTAGTCACAGAGTACTGAATCTTGCAGGGTCACGATTTGTGAGACTGCAACTAGATTTTTGAGATTATTTCCCATCATGCACCTGGTGGAACTTTACAAGCAGATAAACACTTTCCTTCCACTCTATGGTGGTACAGATGGGAAGATACGCTGGCTGGGCATGTAAAGATCTGGGGCTCAGAGCAGTTCACTGTAGAGCTGTATACTCTGGCAGATCATCGCCCAGAATCTTTTCATTAACCTGTAAAATGATACTTTTTACAGGTTATACTTTTAAATTTGATATAATGATTTACGCATCAACACAACAGGCAGCGATTCAACGTTGTTGATTTGGTGTCATGAACTAAACCACAAAAAACAGTGTAACAGAAAGCAAAAATAAATAAATAAATAAGGAAAAAACATAAATGATTCTTCAATAATGCCATTCTTAAAGTCCTGAAATATTAAGGCAGTCAGTTTACATTTTAAGTTAATATGATTATTGTATTAAAGTGGAGCAGATTTGCTGTTTTTACAGAGATTTCAGGCTCTCACACGTACATTCTCTCTCTCTCTCTCTCTCTCTAAGCCAAGACTTAAAACTTCCGATAATATTAAACACGGTTGATTCTGTCGCAGCGTCACGACGAGAAAAGGACTGGTTTAAGACCACCATCAGGACCACCTTACACTAAACGATCGAGATCGACGCGACTCTAACAAACTCATGATTTTATTCCGACATTGGAGATTTGTCTGCAACAGTAAAATCGCCGACATTATTTCTCCTAAACGCGCGACGCTCAGAAGAGTCCGGAGTGAAACACTTTCTTCTCTAATTCAAACTCTTGCAATAAAAGAGTAAAACATCCAACTTTTAGTTCACGAGTTCACCCTGTGCAGGAAGAGGAAGCTGTTTGTGTCGCCAGCTGGCTGAGAGGAATTAAACGAAGATTCACTTTAGACATTCCCCCTAATTTCATTCGACTCCTGTGGGTACGCGACCCTAAGTTACCTCAGGAACCGCTGCTTTAAGGTAACTTCAAGTTAGCTGAGCTGTCGTTAGCAGTTATTTATTATCCTGTTCTCGGCTTAAATCAAAAATGGGTTCATTAACATTTATCAGGACAACAGTAAGTTTAATGAGACAGTGTTTCAGTGGTACTGAAAACTGGACGATCACTAACCTCTCTGTACAGGCCAAAGTGCCGCTCCTTCAGGTGTTTGGTCAGATTTGTTGTGTTAGCACCCGTAACTGGAACTGTCCTGAAGCACCGTTTGCATACTGGCTTGCTCGCGTCTTTCGCCTCTCCATCCTGATTTGGTACGAAGCCAAAGTATTTCCACACAGCTCCCCTGCTGTATTTTTCGTCGACTAAGACCGAACTCGCTGCAGCTGCCATTGCAGCAAAACAAACCGCACCACTAGTGAGACCAGAGAACTTGCAGAGAGAGACGGGGAGACCAAAGCCAGGTTAAGGTGAGCCTGGCCACTCCCCAATATCATCCATTTGCAGCGACGCGCCGCCTTACGTCACCAGAGGCTTTATAATACTAGAGATGACGTCAGCGTAGTAGAGCAACATTAACAGTGAAAGTAGTAATAAAAAAGCAGGTAACAAAGTATGGGAAAACAAATTGAAGGGTTGTTAGAATAATAAAGGCAATACTAAAAATAGGGAGAAAAAAATAACAGCACATATTTGAAAGGGAGAATAAGTCTGTCTCTAAAATCCAAAATCTAAAATTTATATATATTTTTGCATTACATTTTTTTTCATGCATCTCAGAGAAGTAAAAAAAGATATTCATTTTGAATAAAAGTTAATTTAATAAAACTGAAAGGATGGGGAGTTTTTTTTGTTTTTTTTTTTTTAGAAATTTTACTTTGTGAATGAATAATTTAACTAATAAATTCAAGTTAGTAATTAGGAATTCAGTTTTCCTATTTTGCCCCCACAAGTCATGTTTTTGCTAGTAAACATGCACAAATTCGGAATTTGAAGTGTTGACCATTCATTCAATTTCTTCCAAAATGTTTGGCTATAATTGCATGTAAAAATCGAATTGTCTGATATTTCAAGAGCTGTCAGGCAAAAAACACAGTTATTATGGTCGAAATCAAATCTTAGTCTCAAAAATTCACTGGAAGGGTATGTCGTGTTCCGAGTTTTATAGTGAACCTCCTTGACTTCAGGAGGGACAGGGAATTTTAAATAAAGCGAATGAGTATGTTTAGTTATGTGACATGGGGAAATGGAGGAGATCCACTTACTGTTATATGAAAAGGGATACTGAGCCTAAAACAAAGTTGGGCTCTAATAAACAAAGTTGGGCTCTAATTCATTTCTTCCTACATACCATGTACAAATCTTTAAAGGAATACTTAACGTTGCGCAAGATTTTGCTATGGAAGCAGAACATGGGAGCAAAATGGGCTGAAACCCAAACAGAATGAATCTGTTTTAACATTTAAAAAGACTTCATCAAGAACAGCAAACAAAGCTATAATCAGATTTCATTTGTGAAGTCCAAATTATTCTCACCAGTCAGACTTACTGTGTTAAGGTTAACATTACATAGTTTACACAATAAATTAAAATCTTTACGGTGCTTGACATTGGTTAGCACAGTAACATGAGTTATCTTACCCTGCTAAATTTAAGCTTGGTAAATAAACCTGAATTAAAATTGAGCTAGGTTATCTAGTGTTAGCTGACAGTTTGCAAGTTTACCCAAATAGTTCTAACAATATCTATTGAGTTACAACAAACAATGAAATAACACACAGATGAATTGTTTCCGGGCTGTATTCAGAGATTAATCACATTTGCCAAATAACATTATTTCTCTTCTTATTCCATGTTATTTCTAAAGAGACGATAACGTTAATCTTCTTACTTTAGTATTCTGCTGCCAGGCATTAATGGAGAAGGCAGGGCTAGGAGCCGCCCTGGGGGGAGGTGTGGCATTGAGAGTGAGAGGGAGAGATGTGAGCTGGTTCAGGAAAGCTGGCTGTTAGAGAAAAAAATAGCTTTGTTTATGTACAGCATGGCTGTGGCTGGCAACAACTAGAAAATAAAGCACCATAACTTATGCGAAAGCAGTGTTTCTTTTAATAGCAGTGAATGCTAAAATATTATATTACACCACTCTACACTACAGTATAGTGTAATAATAGTGAGTCCAGTAGCTGAACATATTGACTGTGCTGTGAGTTGTTCGAAACTGTGCTCAGTCACTATCGACCTTAAACTATGTGTGAGTCAAGTAGGCTCTTGTCATTTTCAAAAATGACTTCACTGATGTATGTTAAATGTCTCAAATGTTTCTTTTGAAGAACCAGCAGTAGTCAGCAAGCATGCAAGTAATGCATTTCCTTGTTGGAATTGTCTTGACGTGTGCCATGTCACGGACATGCCGAGATTCTCAGAAAAGATATCCAGATAAGAGTCTGAACATGTTTTTATAGTGACGTTACACCCACCCCGCAGATCTCTATGATATAAACAGGCCACTCCTTATGTCTCGGCCGTTTTCTGCCTCATGATTTCCCAAAAAGTTCTTATTAACTCTTGAATGACAGCCATGCTGCTGTTACTGCTTGTCTCCTCTTTTTTAAACATCACAACTAAGCAATTAATCCTCCTGTTTAGTGCATAAAAATGCTGAGCAGGCCCAGCTGACCTTCCTTTTGGATCATGATGTGACTTTGAAAATGGGATCATCATTGTTTCACAGACACCCAGAGCTTCAGTCACAAAGACTGCTCAGCTGACTAGTGCTTTAAAGGGACCAGTGACTAAAATGGCATCTGCATTTAGATCTGTGTGAAAGACATCAGTAAATAGGGCTGGAAACTGGTTGAAGGCACACAATCAGTGACCGTGATTATTGCACATTAGTGCACTATATAAGAGCAGCTGTTCCTCAGGTGACTGAGAACATCAATACAAGACTGAACAGTCTGTCCACAACTACATAGAGAGGCATTTTAGAGTAGAACTGCAGTTCAAAACCTCATTACATCTCTTTACACCTCATCACAAAGACAAATTCACATTTGAGAGATCAGTGGTATAAAACCATCTGCAATAGTCTACAGATATGTGAAAGAAAGCGAGATGGTCCGATGAGTCCTCCTCCACCACACTCTACACAAGTAAGTGAGTGCATGCGTGGCATACACCAAGAGATTTAAACAGGCCTGGATGCTCAATTTCTGTAGATAGGTGGTCTGGTGCTACATTTAGCTACATACACTATATGGACAAAAGTATTGGGATGCACCTCTTAATCATTGAATTAAGGAGTTTCATTCAGTCTCATCACAGGTGCATAAAATCAAGCGGCTAGCCATGCAGCCTGCCTTTACAAACATTTGTGAAAGAATGGTTTGTTCTAAAGAGCTCACACAATTCGAGCATGGTGCTGTAATAGGATGCCACCATTGCAACAAGTCCGTTCACGAAATTTGAAATTCCACCCGTTTATCCTCTAAACTGAAACTGATCCTGTGTTTTGATGCACCTGAAGCAGGCTAACTACATTAGCATTAGTATAGCCCAGCAGGGTACAGATCAAAAACAGCTTAGATCTGCATGAACTCCATGCTGGTCTAAGTTGATCTGTGCTGGTTTAAGCTAGCCTATGCTAGTTTAAGCTGGTATAGTGCTGGTCTGGTGCTGGTTAACTGGTTACCTATGGTCAACCACTGGTTGACTATCGGCATCCAAAACACAACAATGCTGGTTTTGCTGGTGATTAGCATATTAACTTTCTTTGCTGCGGACCTGCATTGCAGAATTCAACATGCAACATATGCTGGTTTTGCTAGTGACTGGCTATGCTGGTCTATGCTGTTTTTTTAGCAGGGTAGCCTGGCAGGCTACAGCTTAAGACACTACAGAACTGGTTTCATTTAGGCTTTCTGCCACTCCAACATCAATCAGTCAAATTTGCTCTCATTATTATGCATTTTTACTGTCTATACCTGTGATAGCAGAGTGGTGTTTTTTTTTTTTTTTTTTTTAAGTGTTTCGCAAAATGTTTTCCCAAAGTTGGCAGGTCTGCCCTACGCAATACCAATAAGAGTCCTTGGGACGGGACAACTTCATTACCTTCACCTACATCTGCAAAATGATCAAACTGTTAGTTGCTGTGATAGACAGTCCACCAAATGCTGTAAATGTAGTTCCACTTTTTAGCTTAAATGTGAAACTAAAGTTTGTAAATAACACTATCATTTTCTTATACATGGGTTTAAAAGCATATTGATGGAATCCAAAGTAAATATATGAAGATGTCATCATGTATTTGTGGAAACGGATTCTAAACTAAAAAAAACTTGAAAACGTCTCGGGGGAAAAATGCAGTGAGCATGGTTAGTCTGCTTGCAGTGGTGGACAGTAACTAAGTAAATGTAATTCGTTACTGTACTTAAGTAGTTTTTTTGTGTATCTGTACTTTACTGAAGTATTTCTATTTTGGGTGACTTTTTTACTTTCACTCCACTACATTTCAAAGTCAAATATATTACTTTTTACTCCACTACATTATGAGAAATCTGTCGTTCCTTTTGGTTTATGTGTGTATAAAAACATAACATATCATAACAAAAGAAGCACGAAGCAAGAACACCAATCAGGGCACAGCGCGCACTTTGTTTTCAGCTTGTTTTGACCTGTTGGATGTAGCTACCCAGTTCAACGTCAGTGCAGCAGCGTAAAAGTTTGGGAGTGTCTTTTCCAACATAAATCATGGAAGAAACTCCTGACTATAACTAAATTTTGTGTAAATAAACCACACTTAGTTTCTTTGTTCTAAATTTATACAAACACTATTTCATTTTATAGTAAATTCGTTTTGGCTAGTTTATGTTTATGAACAGGGTCCTACAGATGCAGTTTAGTAAAGGAAAAACAAGTTTTTATTAAACTTAAACTTGTAATTAAGTTGCAAATAAATCTTAAACTGAAACTTTGCTTGTTCGCAAAAAGTTATTTCAGAGCCACTCAGTTCTACCTAAATTGTTTGCCTTCAGTGTTTTGTGCTTATGATAATTTTAATAGACATCAGCGTCAGACTACTTAATGACATTCTATTAAAAGACTGGTGTTACAAGAGTGACACTGGAGTATTTTCACCTAAAATGAGTAATGAAGCAAGTCTTCTTACAAAAACAGGACATTAGAGTCACAATTAATCTTTTAGTACTTTTACTTTCGATACTTAAGTACATTTGAAGGCAAATACTTTTGTACTTTTAATCAAGTGGAGGTCTAAAGGGAGGAACTTCTACTTTTACTGGAGTAATATTTAAGTTGAGTATCTCTACTTTAACTCAAGTATATTCTTTGTGTACTTTGTCCACCACTGTCTGTTTGTATAATTTGATCTATGCTGAGCATGTTCAGTTTAGTAGTCAAATGTCATGATCTTAAACCTTGTTTAAATGTCTCCAATATACTGCTGTAAGACAGAAAACTGCA